GGTTTACGTAACGTATAAAACTAAGTACTAGCTACTTATTAAACAAGTTCCTACGTGATTTAATAAATAATAGCTTTTAAAATCGCTTATTTCGAGAAAAGCGATAACAAAAAACTTAACGTTAAATATATTATCTATTAACTGAGTAGAAAATAATAAGCTTTAAATATTCTTTTTATAATTATTATTGCTTTATTAAATAAGAAAAGAATCTTAAAAAGTTTTCGTTATTTAAAAAATATCACGTGATAATATAAAAACGTTAAATAATTATTAAAGTCGAAAATATTTTTTCGAAAAAAAAAATTTAATTAAGAAAAAAAGGTCACGTGATTATTCTAGCGCCTCGGCGTGACTTTAAATAGTATTAAAAGCGTCGCCCCGATACAAAGCGATTTTTTTTTAATTTTTTACGCGCAAAATAAAATCATCTCGGGAAGGGCGAACTTGCGTTCGCCCTTCCCGAGGTGGATGTACTGTTAAGAAGATCAGAGGATCGCTTAAATGAACCCCTACCTGCCTTTAAGATATTCAGCTATTGGTCCTTAATATTATACACCAAATTTGCATCTGAGCACTTATTATAACGTTAGAATGCATAAGACAATCAAAAGATATACGAGGTCTGCGAGCCAAACAGGCTCTTATCTGCTCTGCTTCGGCGGGATCGAAAGTATATTTACACATTCATCTTCATGTCTTTTCACCAAACCTTTATTATCCAAGCCCGATAGTTATTGCAAACACATCCTATCGCTTACAGCTTCATGCCCATAATCTTACCCACTCTTAAACTCTGCCTGATGCTCAGGTCCAGCATGATCTCCTCGCTTCCTCCAGGGATCGCATAAGCCCTGACATCCCGATACAATCTCTCCACCTTGCCCCCTTGGCCGCCCCTGGAATAACTCAATCCTCCGAAAATCTGACTAGCCTCTCGTGCACAGTACTCAAACGTCACCGTCGCCTGGGCTTTCAAGCCGGCGATGGGTCCTCCCAGTCGCAACATGGCGAGATCCTCTGGCATATGACTAACTTGGTGAATAATAGCTTCCATCCAGGATTGAGTCGCTTCAATTTGGCGAGCCATGTGTGCGAGTTTCAGGCGTATGACGGGATGCTCGATGAGCTTCTTGCCAAACGTGCGGCGCTTGTGGGCATATTTGACGGACTCCTCGTAGCAAACACGGGAGAAGCGGACGCACTGGATGATAATGCCGATACGTTCGTGGTTGAAGTTGGTCATGATGACTATTGTCCGAAGGTTAGCATAGGTGCGTGCGAAGAGAGCCTGGGAAGAGAGCAACATACCTTTGAATCCCTGGTTCTCCTTGCCAATCAAGTTCTCCACGGGAACCTTAACGTCCTCGAAAGTAACGTACGTCGTTCCAGACGACCACACACCTTGGCAATCCATCCTCCGTGTCGAGACTCCACCGAAGTCGCGCTCGATCAGCAGCACCGAGACGCCATTCATTCCGCTCTCCTTAGTACCAGTCCGAACCGCCGTGGTGAAATAATCGCACCAGACGCCGTTCGTGATCCACTTCTTCTCGCCGTTAACAATATAGTGCTTGCCGTCTTCCGATAGAACGGCCTCGCATCCCAGATTCGCGACGTCACTACCCGCATCCGGCTCCGTGATAGCCAGGCAGATGCGCTTGTCACCATTCAAGATACCCGGCAAGATGCGCTTGACCAGCTCGGGCTTTCCAAACTTAACCATAGGCGGACCTCCGATGCCAAAGCCGCCGATCACGTTCCACACAAAGCCTCCCGAGCCGCAGCGCGACAGCTCGTCCGTGATCAGCATCTCGTGAAACAGATCCCACTTCTCGGGAGGCACGCTCTTGATCCGGTTGCCCGTGTAGTCGCCCAGGTAGTTCATCCCCAAGAGCCCGGCCAGATATCCGCGGGTGCCCATCTCCTTGTAGATCTCGTCGGGGACTTTCTTGGCTTCATCCCACTCGCCCACGAAGGGCTCAATTTTCTCGGTAACCCATGCGCGGATCTCTTCGCGGAGGGCGGCATGGGTTTCGTTGTAGTAGGGAGAGTGGAACTGCGCTTGAAGTCAGCCTCTGCCAGTGCAGCAGCGAGTCTGATGCACGCCCGCAGGCAACTTACGCCCTGGTACCAACTCGGGTCCGCGAACGGAATCAACTCTCCGAATGGTTCCAACGTCTCAATCTCCACCTCCTCGACGGCTGGCACGGGCACCACGGTTCCGCTCTCTGCCTGCGGCTTTGCAATCTCCTTCTTCTTCTCCTCCTTCACGACCTTCTGCTCCTCGACGGGGGCGGCGGTTGGAGCTTCGGCCTTCTTGGTATCGAGCGATCCGACCTGCAGCTTGGGCTTGTACTTCTTAAGGATGCCCTCGTTGTGGTATTTCCAGAACTGCTTTGAGGCGTCCTTGCCGGCGACCCGGGTGAGGATCTTCTTGCCACCTGCACAGAGTTTGGTCGTATTAGTATCTATGGGTAGCAGGGAGGAGGGGAGGGGGGAGAGGCGAGGGAGAGGGATAGATGTACCTGGATGCTCGTCCGAAAAGGCCGTGAGATCGTAGACATCCTCGTCGACGACGATGTACAGATCGTTCGGCTTGTTGTGCGCCGCCACGTCGGCGGTGGTGAAAGTCTTGCCCATGTTGGCTGTGTTGACGTGGCGATTCGGGTGGGGGGGATGATGGTGGTGATGGTAGTGGTGGTGTCGTTGGTTCTTTAGTCTGATGAAATGCGGATGCAAATGCTGAGGAGTGGAGGAAGAGGCTTAAGTAGGAAGAGGGAGAGAGAGAGGAGATGCGATGGGGGTAAAGTAATATTGGTAACAGTCGGTCGTGATCGGTCTGGTCGGTGTTCGGTCGGTATGAGATTCCAACCAAAGCGAGGCCCACACTTTCACATGCCACATGCCACCGACTCCAACGGGACTTGAGTCGGCTGCTCCGCCCCCAGGATTTCCCCACACGGGTCACAGGGTCGGATTCCAAATGCCAAATGCGGCGCGTATCATTGGGTGCGGCCATGGGGAAGAGTGGGGCAACTAGCATTGATTCGGTCATAGGGGTCATACAGTAGTACCTAGTGTGGATCAGATGTGAGATGCCGAGGCAGAGAACCGCTCGTAAACAAACGGCCGGCCGGATCTTGGGGATGTCGTTTGGCCATCCACGGTCGGATCTGGGACCTGAGATGTTTTGGTGCTGTGGTCAGGTGATAGTCAGGTGATAGTCAGGTGATCTGGCAGAGGACAAGTGGGTATGTTTTCATCTTTTCATCACGTGCTCATCGCATTGATTCACGCACGCTTCACTGACTTCCTTCTCGTCAAAACGCAAGACACGCCAGGTCTCACGACTCGCACGGTCCCGTCCCCCGTCCCCCGTCCCCCGTCCCGGTCCACGATGCGTGCAAGGCTCACCAAGCAGATCGAAGACCGGGTCAGTTCTCCAGCTCATAGACCGTTTCCACAGACACCGTATCCGATGTCTTTCGGATATAAAAGTGACCGGATCCAGCATGTCGATCAAGTGCTGATTTCGACCCAGGCGGCACGACGCCGAAGTCAACGACCGGCCATCCCACCTCCAGCTTCTGCGAGTCCGGGAGCCATGTCAGCTTCAGCGTACATGAAGTAGCAACGACATCTTCGGAATCCAGGTCGGAATCCATGAGTGGAGAACCCGTGAGTGAGGTCTGGCTCCTCGAGGACCAGACAGCATGCGAGAAGGCCAGGTGGAGGCGGGGTGTGCTGGCTTTGGCCATTCGCGAGCTCGGAGACAGTTCAAACGAGAAAGGCTCTCCTTTGACCAGCCTGGTGTACGGTACCTGTCTCGTGCGTTGTCTGGCTTTCTTCGCCCGGTTGAGTTCCGCGAATGGCGTAGGCAAGGGCGCCGCGCGGTCTTCTTCATCATGTACGGGACCGATAAGGGGAGCTGTTGACATGGTGGCAGAGACGTCCAGCTGTGCGGCCTGTGGGTGAGGCAAATGTGCTTTCTGCTCCTCGCCTTCGTATCCCGAGTCCACGATTGCTTCGGCCACGGGGTGTATCTCGCCTACAGGATGCTTGTCGGCCACAGGATGGATCAAGACTATCTCAGACGCGACGGGTGTAGGGAAAATCAGACTCTCGTTGGGGTGGGCGTGGCGGGTTCCACGTGACCAGGTCTCTTTCGCGACCATCTCGCCGATCGCAGTGCTGAGCCGTCGGAATGCCCTCGCCAGTTCATCACTGCACGTGTGACTTTGCGATGCGTTCGCGATCGGCTGCTCCGCGGGAAGAGTCCAGGTGTCGTAGACCCGGCCGTGGCTGGTTGGCGTAAAGAACTTTCCATGTAGGCCGATGAAAAGATTGCAGAGGAAGCAGGCCTTCTTGCTCGAGCAAATAACCCTCGGTGGCAGAACGGCATCTCGCGACTCGTAATGAGCCACGATCTGGACTTCGGCATGGACCACAAACGGTTTGGACGAGACGTTGCTGCAGAAAGCTGCGTGGTTGAGCGTCTCACGTCCGAGGCGAGCTCTCAATTTAGAAAGAGGGCTTTGAACGCGCGCGGATCCGTACACGTCGCTCAACAATCCGGTGACGAAGCGATCTGGCTGGAGGATGGGCTGCATTCGCAATACCTGAGCCTTGACCACTGATATGTGAATGTGGGCAAACACCGTTCGCCGGGTAGCTGACTGGACCAGGAATGCGGTGGTAGAGATGTAGCGGGCCAACTTGACAACTATGCGTCTCAGGTACTGCTTGGTGCTGACATTTTCGTCGGTAAGTTCGAGTGCTGTTCCCAAGATACACGAGTTATGTACCCGTCTGCAAACATGGATTAGCTCGACCAGTATATCTGATCCTTTGGTTGAGAGCGCGTCAGCTTTCGAAAAGCACTCTAACCGCACGAAAAGAGAATGTAGCTGGTGCACATCTTGCTGGAACGCTTTCAACAGATCTGGGTTGATGCCGTCGCCTCTCGGTGTGCTTGATGCCACACGCATTAGCGAGTCGATGGGTTTCGGCCGGTCAGCCTTCAGTCGGCTGTTCCTGGCTCTGGAGCTCCCGTGCTGCGATCGCAATCGGCACAGGATCCGATTCTGGTTCAAGCGCACCGCTTGCCTGAGCACGGTATCGACATTGGCTTGGCAGGTTCCATCTTTTCGGAAATACTTGTTAGCTCGATGAAGCATGTGTACGATGAGATAGGCAGGGGATCATCAGTACCCTTTGGTCCCTCCCGGGCCACTGCTTGAAGGCTGTCCGCGATCTTTCGGAAGCCTCGCGATACCTCGCTGATGTTGCCATTGTTCACGGCCAACACGATCTTCATCGACTTTCGATCTTGGCCCTCCTCGATGCAAAGGGCAATGACCTTGCCCGCGTCGTCGGTCGTGCTGGCGAGAAACGCAAACCCTTCCGCGAGTGCTTTCTCCTGGTGAAAGCTCAAGACTCGGGGTGGTAGGTCATGACCACCGTCGCCCGTTTCAGGTGGACGGTTCTCGGTCGGGAAGGTGGGGGTCTCGTTGAGGGATTTGAGCAGGGCGATTTTGGCTTGGAGCTGCTGCAGTTCATTCTGCGTGAAACCCTCGAGACTCATGATAGAAAATCGCCGTCAGAGAATCTTTTCGAGGGTGGAATTTCGATTGCTTTCTCATGATGGAGCATAGCAATCGGCGTCACAAGCGAGTTTTCAATGATTCTGCTCCCGTTTTTTTTTTTTGCTCGGGAGCCTGCATCTTGTTGATCGCGCCTCGAAAGATCGCGGTTGGAGGTCAGATATCTCGTCTGCACAATGCCAAAAGCCATCGACATGCATGCGCAAACACGTGGAATTGGACTACAGGTTTTGGGCGGTCGACCGATCACGCCTGACGTCCTCGCTTGAGGCGTGGTGTAACCAGGACTGTACGTGCTCAGAATCGGTGACTTGTTTTCGGATACAGAAAGAATGGTAATGTTATCAGTAGAGCCAGCGATCACTAGGCTGGCTGGCAGACTATATATACCATCTTAGTTGATATTTCCGACAGGCTAGCGGGCCGGATCGCGAGCCAAAAAGTGAGAGTATCTGGAATCTAGATTTATCGAATGAAAAGAGAACTCGCTTGAGCCACAAGTAGTGCAATACAAAATCTCCAGAAACCGCAGAGAGACCGTGCGGGCAAATACATATCAACACATCCATGCATTCCATTCTCGTTTCTTGGGATTCTACGAATTATATTACCTCGTAAGGTCTCTGTTCTCGAAAGAGTCACGTGCCAATCAATGTATTAGCGCGGATCTGGTCGCGTTGAGGTACGCGAAATTTTAAATCTCCAGATGGCAGTGATCGCAACCCTATTCTGAACGAAGCTCCCCGAAGACCTCTCCAAACCATTCATCACCCCTTCCCACTACCGACTCGATACCTGCGACCTGTCAATAGCATCAAGGAAGCCTCTACGGATCCGCAGACATGTCATTCGGCGGTCAAACCCCCACGATTATTGTGCTGAAGGAAGGTCAGTCCACGGCATACTTTTGGGCCTGGGGGAGATATGCTGATGGGCTCGCGCTACAGGAACGGACTCGTCGCAAGGGAAGGGACAGATCATCTCGAATATCAATGCGTGTTTAGCGGTGCAAGCTACGATACGGAGTACTCTGGGGCCGTACGGAGGGGATCTGTTGCTTGTGGATGGAAATGGAAGACAGACAATTACTAACGACGGCGCAACCGTCATGAAGGTCCGTACATCTACTGCCGTACCTGCAGACGTGGATACTGACCAGGTGTAGCTTCTCGAGATCGTACACCCCGCCGCGCGAATTCTGACCGATATCGCGAGATCCCAGGATGCAGAGGTCGGGGATGGAACCACCTCCGTGGTCGTGCTGGCAGGCGAGATTCTGAAGGAGATCAAGGAGCATGTGGAACAGGGCGTCAGCTCGCAGACTATCATCAAGGGTTTGAGGAGAGCTTCGACCATGGCTGTGAACAAGGTGCGGGAGATTGCTGTGAATACCAGTGAGGGCAACCAGAGAGAGACCTTGATCAAGTTGGCTGGAACTGCCATGAGCAGTAAACTGATCAAGAGAAATACTGGCTTCTTCACGAAGAGTAGGCATTCGTCCTGGATTCGACGTCGCTTTGCTGACACGATACAGTGGTGGTTGACGCAGTCATGTCCCTTGACCAAGACGACCTCAACGACAAGCTCATCGGCATGAAGAAGGTCCCCGGTGGCTCTCTTACCGACTCCCTCTTCGTCAATGGTGTGGCATTCAAGAAGACCTTCTCCTACGCTGGATTCGAGCAACAGCCTAAGACCTTTAAGAATCCCAAAATCGTCTGCCTGAACGTTGAGCTCGAGCTCAAGTCCGAAAAGGACAACGCCGAAGTCCGAGTCGAGCAAGTTTCCGAGTACCAAGCTATCGTCGACGCAGAATGGCAGATTATCTACAATAAGATGGAGGCTCTCTACAAGACTGGTGCCAAGGTTGTCCTCTCAAAACTCCCGATCGGTGATCTGGCGACTCAGTACTTCGCAGACCGAGACATCTTCTGCGCAGGCCGTGTCTCTTCGGACGATCTCGAGCGGGTCATTCAAGCCACCGGAGGCTCTATCCAATCGACCTGCTCTGACATTCACGCCGAGCACCTCGGAACCTGTGGCTCCTTTGAAGAGCGCCAGATTGGAGGCGAGCGCTTCAACTTTTTCGAGGACTGCCCTGAGGCCAAGACATGCACACTGGTTCTTCGCGGTGGCGCCGAGCAGTTCATCGCCGAAGTCGAGCGCTCCCTACACGACGCCATCATGATCGTCAAGCGAGCCATCAAGAATAACACAATCGTGGCCGGTGGTGGAGCCTGCGAGATGGAAGTCTCGGCATACCTGCACCGCTACGCCGACAAAAACGTGCCGCACAAGCAGCAAGCCATTATCAAGTCATTCGCCAAAGCCCTCGAGGTCATTCCGCGCCAGCTTTGTGACAATGCCGGCTTCGACGCTACGGATATCCTGAACAAGCTGCGTGTGGAGCACCGCAAAGGCAATACCTGGGCCGGGGTTGATTTTGATAACGAGGGAGTGCGGGATAACTTGGGGGCATTCGTATGGGAGCCCGCGTTGGTCAAGATCAATGCTATGCAGGCGGCGACGGAGGCTAGTTGTTTGATCTTGAGCGTGGATGAGACTATTAAGAATGAGGAGAGTGCACAGCCGCAGGCCCCTCAGAGAGGTCTACCTCCTGGAGCTGCGCAGAGAGTCATGCGGGGTAGAGGACGGGGGATGCCAAGAAGGTAGAGACTTTGAAGGAGAAAGAAAATAGAGCTTGGTGGCGAGGCAGATTTTAATGTATGATATTATACAAGAGATGTCGCTTGCCGGAGTAGCAAGATGTCTATGTTGTTCTCGTGTACTGCCAGCCCCCCGCTCTTCTTTTGCGCACATTCGTTCCTGATCTAACAGCATAGAACCTGCTCGCCGCTCGGTTTCTCGGGGTAAGATTATTCATTGACTTTTAAATCGTGACTATTAAGTCCTAATCAGCTTTAGTATTTCGTAAACCTGGATGGATTGTTGGAATTGAGATGAAATGTTGTTTTGCTTTTTTGTTTTCTGGCTGCGAGCTAGGCTGGCTTTGTTTTGTGACTGGCATAATGAATGTGCTGGATGTTGACATTGATTCGGTTAACTACCGATAACTGACGTGAATTGGGTTGGATTGGATTTGAGATGATATTAGTATCTTCTGCGAGTAATAGACTTGGCGGAGTCGCTAGATAGCGGATATTTAAATTGTCTATGCTATGCTGAGATACAAGGGGTTTTGGAAACGCCCTTGATTCCGGAAGCTGTGGTGAATGTCTTTAGGTCTTTTTGGTATTTACGCTTAGGTTTTGGGAATCATTTCAAAACAAAGAATAGAGACTGCATTAGCAATTTGTTTTATATATGGCTATACTATTGCCGAAAATATCTCCTTCTTCGTCGTCAGTCACGTGTTGGCTATTCCCATGTTAGGAACCAGTGGAACCTGTGGTCGAATCGACTAGCAAGTCTGCTAGCCTGCTAGGTAATGGAGACTTTGCAATGAGTCTATTCATTTTCGTTGCTTATATGTACTTTTCATCCGATATTGCGAGTCTGGTTCGAGATAAAAAGCTGCATTGCGGCGATTCTTATACCTGGGTTTGTAGTGGAGAGTATGACTGCTTTACATCGCTTTGCAAGATTGTTAACGATCGTCAATAGTATGTTACAGGAGGGGCTCCAAGTGATGTTCCTATCTTTTGAAAATGGTGACTCGGCCGATAAATTGAATAAACTGAGGCCTAATATGGGTTAGAGATGATAAGTGAAAGAAAAGTCGGGCCTGGAGGAAGATATGGCGATGTTACCTTTTTGAAATCTTGTATTGGATCTGGGTGCCTAACTGGGTGAATGAGGCTGACTCTGTCCCTACTAATATTTCCACTCACAAGTAAATCGATAACATAAAGGTGAGGTAGCAAGGCTGTGCTTTTCTTTGTGATTCGGAGAGCTTCACTCGACGCTAGACAAGCGCTTCACTTCAGCATCCCACGTCGTTGACTTACAAGAAATCACCTCCCTCTTCTCCCGACTTGAACCTGTTCCTCTAAACACAACATCCTCCTCCCAACTCACTCACTTTTTAAGTTACACCAACAATAACAACAACAAGAAACTCGAACGAATACCGCAACCATGCATTCCCCGACCCTAGTCGCAGCTCTCGTCGTCCTCCTGGGCTTCGTCACTGCCTCTCCTATGGTCTCTCCCAAGGTCTCTTCCAAGCTCGAACCCCGCCAAGATATGCAATTTTGTATTCTCAAAGGTGCATTGACATGCGGCAGAGCATTCAATCCTCGTGTTGGCGTACGTGCTCCCTGCATCTTCACCCGCACCTCGATTGATATCGAGGCTGATAATTCAAAACGTAGCATATCTGCGGCCATGACTACGTCATCCACAAGTATGGAGAGTGTGCCCCAGGCACTCATTGCGTCAAGATCAGCGGTCGCGATGGTCTTTTCTGTGCTCAGGGTAAGTCTGGCCCGGCACCCGATGAAAAGATCAGAAGAGTTCAGCTGACTTTGTGGATAGACTGAAGGATCGATCCGTGGACAGCTTTAGTTCGGCCTTCGGCTTGACTACTGGCTTCCCATACGATACTGGGTTCGGAGTCGAAGAGAGGATGGCATTGCGGTTCACGATAGATACACTTGCTACTCTGTGTTTCTTGCCCCTTTGGAGATTCTTGATTGAATGGTATCCTAGCTGCCAACTAGATCACTCGCCAATATCCAATGCTTCTCAAACTCTTTTCCGCTGCTTCGAAGGTCATACTCAGCTGTCTGGATTTCTCTTCTCAAATCTTCGAGTATATGAAAAACCTCCGTATGGCCTAGCCAGTATTGCTCTCAGCAGTACGAGCATATGGTAATTGGGACTGCAGTTGTAAGCACTTCAGTGGATGTTAGTTCGCAAGGAGATGGCCCTTTTCCCGTAATCAGCACCTCGGAAATGCGAAGGTGGATTCACCTGGGCAACCAAGAGGGAAGGAACGCGAAAAGTTAGTGATATTGGTCCCGCGCACTGATAACTTGATCCATATCACAGGAATATCGCAAAATAAACAGCCTCCTGTCATATAATCCACAGTAGCTGCTCATACATGTATATTGGTCTAGAATACTTGAGTAGGTAGGTTCGTATCTACGCCTCAATCCCTAAGAGCCTTCGTCCATCACATCCAAGCCGGCTCCAATATCTTGCTCATAGGTAGCCAGATCCTCTTCCAGTATCTTAATAAACATCGAGACCACCAGGCCCTAAAAGGACTATCATGTTAGCAAGCTCATTCCATTATCCACTATAAAGTTGCAGGGAGTGCAGGAAGACAAACAAACAAACAAACAAACAAACAAACAAACAAAACAAACATACCCATCGATCCTCATCGATAACAACCTCCGCAGCCGGCAGCAGAGGGCTCATAACCCGCTTGAATTGCGCCAGCCTGGACCCATCCTTATTCTCCCTCCCACTCTCGACTTCCGCCTCGATGGCTTGCATCAAACACAACTTGGTGAGAAGTCAGCCAGTCAGCCAATCAGCCACAAATCCAAGCCCCCAAGCCCAAGCCCAACGTTAAAAGTAGGTAGGCGGGAAAAGAAAAAAAAAAGGATGTGCAACGACTACTACTCACCATCTGCTTAAACAGCGGATACGAATCTGCGTTCATGCCAAAACTGCTGCTCTGAGCCTTGCTCGATGTTGGATCGAGGCTGATGGCGGAGACCATACTTGCTAGCATCTCTGCATCCTTTTCATTTTTATTATCAGCTGCTGCTTTGGGAGAAGGAGGAGCGGAACGGGGAGCTAATCAATTATATGGATGAATGTCAGCATAGCACTTAGGGAATATCTTTCGAGGCTGCAGGGCTCTGAGACGGCATAGCATACCGTCGTTGTCGACATCCATGGTGGTGGTGGTGGTTGGGGGCGTGTTGGGATTTCTGCTTCTTGTGGATTCTGGGCTGCGTGTTGTCATGATCGTGAGGGAGGGAGGGAATTCCGGCAGGGTTTTGTTTTGGATGTGGGTTTGCTTGAGGAGCTATCGTTGAATTCTTGAGGATATGATACGGAGAGGGTGGAGGTGAATATGGTGCTGTAAATGAGAGACTAGACCACGCAGAAAGAGAGGGGTGGGGGAGGTGTGTCGGGGATAGGGAATGTTTTGATTCATTTATTTCTACGACACGACGCAGCGTAGCTTTTTTTCGATGGGAGGAAGCAGAGATTGCTAGAATCTACTTGAATAGTGCCCAAAATATCTATGCTATCAACATCCCGGGGCAGCTGTCTTGATCTGGGATGCTGATGCTTTGGGACAAGAAGCAAGAAGGGAAGATAATTCGAGATCAGTGGAGCTGATATACTACTATTGTTAATACTGCGTTAGGAAGGCACCAGCGATATTTCTACAAGTATACAACGCAAAGCATGACACAGCTCGCCGTGAGAGCTGTGGGTGGCAAACGTGGTCCTCGTCAAACTCAAATTTCCACAGGCTATCGTACTCAACAACAGTAAGCCGCCAGCATATCCAATCTCCCAATATAGCTCCAACTTCCAGCAAGCCCAATACTAACCTCGCCGCTTGAGCCCAGCCAGCCCAAGACAAGCCTTCCGAGTTGACCTGTATCCCCTATCGTGAGAAACCCCACCGGCCCTCTACAACACCGCATCTGACCTGGACGGAGCAGGCTCCAAACCACAGTAATAGGGCTCCAGATTGTGTTCCAACCTATTGATAACTCGGCCAGTAATCACTTCCTACCCAAAGTCAGTGCCTGTCCATATGATGTACTCGAGAAAGAGAAGAGCACCTACCAGACTGTCACTATCGAGACAGCGAATACCCGCTTTCTCCAAGCTAGCCACCCACACCCCTCGGATCTCCTCCACTTCATCTGACGCGCGGTCAATATTGCCGGAGGTTAGGTTGTGGAGGAAGCTGCTGGCTATCGATCGAGAAATTTCATGGCGACGAATTTCCTCCACGGTAAGCGCACAGTGGCGGCTCTGTGGCGGAAGGGCGGTTGGCAGTTTGCTTCCTTGGTCAATATTGCTTGCTGATGATGATGTTGCGTTCTCAGAAGAGGTGGGCGTGTTAAGATCTGGTTGCTCTAGGTTGTGATGGGCTTCGCCGGCTCCGGCTTCTAAGTCCAGGACCTCGCTCGTCTGCTGCCCTCTTACATCGTCCATTGTTATAAGTTGAAAGGATTTTTGGTTTTTATTAAAGAGGTGTTAGTTGTTTTGGATCTGATGATGTTTCCAAAGAGTTTCAAAGATAACGTGGTAAGGTTGAACGAACGAGTGTGTCGGGGCTGGTAATCTGAAGGTGGATAGGATATAAATATTCAAGCACTATTATTAATGTCGACTTATTCACAATGCTACACAACCTACCCCTTGCTTTGTATATATCTTTTTCCCGCTCATTTGAGTTTTCTGCGCCTTCTCCAGCTTATCCTCTTCCAAAAGATCCGTCAAGCGTCGCGCTGCATGCTTGGTGATTCACGTCGAAGACCATAGGTATTAGCATGAATATTAGTATTTGTAATAAAAGTGTTTGCTCCTCCGACTATTTCCAAGTCTGGCATCAGATTATATTAAGATCATCACGCGCTTTCTAATGTCTGGTCGCCGTCGCCTTTGAAATCAATCCCCTTGCTCGCTAGTCGCTTGACCAAGAGATTTTGAATCTGAAGAGCCACCTCGAGATATTCGTCAAAATTTCCTTCCGCAAGCGCGGCTAGTTTTGATAACCCATGAAAAATGGGAGGGGTATATACGATCCTGGAAGAGAATGCGAGGTAGAAGAGCGCAGTATAGATCGCTAACTTAGTCTGATTGTCTTTGACTAAGGGAAGGAACAAGGAACTTGAGGTACAGCGCTCTATCTTGAGATGAAGTTCGGAGTTTTCCTCTATCAAAGCTTTGGCTGCCTCTTCGGCGGCTACGGCTCGGGAGAGGAGCTGTCGGTTGATTTACTCAATCGCAGCGATGGTTTCGTCTACGAAATCTATCACCGCTCGAGCCTAGTTGGACTTGTCAGATAATGGGGCGGACTGCTCGAGTAGTTCACTTACACTCAGACTTGTAGTATTATGCTCTATACTAGACAATTATATGTATATCTGCTTGTTTGAACTTGGTGGGCAAGAGCTGCGTGAACGAGTCGTATTCATTGCGGTATCCTCAAGCTCGGCAACGAAAGAGGATTCGGTGGATGAGTAGGCAGACGAGTTTGGTGAGCCGTAAGTGTCCGAGTAGTACATTTCGAATAGAGATTCGGTAGCAGATAAGGGCGTCTTTCTACCAACTGATGCTTCCCCCTTGACTCTCGGTGCTTTGGATTCCCACTTCTCTAGTTCTCGAGCTGCAAGAAGTTTCAAATTTGGCCGTCTAGCTCCTCCTGCCCTCCTCGGCCTTCGTATATATATCTGAAAGGGTCTCAAGTATTCCTTCAAGGTGGCATTCTCCAGCTCCGTGGAGAGCCGCCCATCGTGGTCTGTCGGTGATACATGATCCGAGTCCCACTGTGTGACGACGTGAGGCATTATTGAACTCAGTGTTGATCTTTGCGAGCTCATTGGAACTAGTTCTAGTGAGTTTTCAAGCTCTTCCTAAATGAAAGACTGAGATCATTTAGATGCTGTCTGACCAAAGAGGGCATGTGTACATCGACTGAACCTATGATTGATTGAAGCTCATCTGGGATCGTCTCCAACCATCGGAATTTCCATTGAAGTCGAAGACCGCGAGGCAGGTTGAAACAAAACAGACTCAAGAATGCGCGCATCAGGGAAACTATATGAATAATTTAGATTAGAACAATGATCTTGGGACCCATAATTTCCTGCATCGTGACTTGGTCGTCCCAACGCGATGGGCTGTTTCAAAAGCTATGCCATTCAACCGAGAACATCCTTTCTTTTCTTCAGCACGCTGCGAAGTTCTCAGATGAAAATTGGCTAAGACAGTGGTCGCTTATCGGTCGTCGCGCGTGAGATGCCATAGAAGTTCCCCTGGAGCCGCTTGGGTCCGCGGCTCATGCGGCCCGGCGCTCATGTCACGTCGTTTTGGCGCCACGGCCGCAAGGCTCACGGGGAGATGTAGAAATTGACGACGGGAGCTCTATGGTTATCCTGCAGAGAAGGCATAGAGAGGAAAGCGGCGGGAATGTTCGTGGCTGCGAACGCAGGTATAGACGCTGGGGCGCTTGGAAAATCTAGCCGAGACTTTCCGACAATGGCAAGTCATGAGTTTGCTGGTATTTTTGGTCTGCCCATAAGCAAATTACAGATTCAAACTAAGGGACTTCAGATAGAAATAAGAAGCGCGCGAGGAAAAGCCTAGTTCAGAACGTCAGGGCGGGATTGGATGGTACCCTTTGTTGACTTCTAGGCGAATCACTGAACGTCGCTTAGCATTTCCAGGCAAAGTAATAGTAACTCGGTTCGTTTTCTCTGATGTGCGAACCTTTCCTGCCTTCTCTACTCGTTGTTTCAGTATTACCACAACATTTCTTGATGATGTTTACATAGATACGATCTCAAGCAAGTTTAAGTTATTACTAGCAACGTGCAGGCCCCGAGATATCGGTGCGGGACTCACTCACACCTTCAAAAACTAGCACCAATTGAATTGGCTCCTCTCGGCATCCAGAGTCGCATCAAAGCATGAAATAGCATGAAATAGCATGCATGCAACCTCTATCTTGCATCGAGCCGCGTCGGCTGGACATCCTGATGGGCACTTGATGGTCACGTGGCGTATTCTTGTTTGAGGTACAGACGCGCGGCAGCATTGCTTAATCACATTGAGACTTGCATACCTCCTTATAGCAATTAGGACTCGTTTTTTTCAACGGCAGCTTTGTATAAACTGGTGGCCCGACTTGTAAGAACTTAAGGAATGCTCGGCGTTTGGGTCAGATTTGAAATCGATTATACAAGCTAAGCTGTACAAACCCTCTCGCCACCCTATACAATTCGTACAAACTGTACAACTTCTGTCAGATCTAGAGATGGGTGGTTTTATTTACCGGCCTTGAACCAAACACGGCTTTTCATGTTGGCAGCTAACGGCTGTGATAGTGATAGGCGTCTACTTACGCGCCCGGGCCGCGCTAATTCAAGCGCCACGCAAATATTTGATAGGACATGGTCCTCTGACCCTATGACCCTCTGACCACCTTCCACCTAGGGTCACCTCGATCACAGATAATATAAGGAAATAAGATGATAGAGCAAGGTGGTTGTTATTGTTGGAAGCTCAGAGCAACGTGAGGCTGCTATATACCCTCTCAAGTGGTCTGTGCCACCTGTAGTAGCCTGGTGGCCTAAGGCCACGACAATCACCTCCCTCGCCACAACTCTGCCTTGTCTCGTGCGCGCATCAAGCAAGATCGCTACACGTAAGCGCACACGCAGGAGCACGCGGTCCCAAGCTCCTCACCAGGCGCCTTTCGGTCGCAGCTTGACACCCGAGGCCTAAACGAATCTACCGGGTCAACAGAGTATGGAGCTGCCCCGGGAGAGAGAAGACCGCCCTCGTCGCCGGTCACGGTCAGGCTCCTACGATTCGGTAGAGGAAAGACGTCGCAGAAGACGCAGAAGAGAGAGAGAGATGGCGGACAGGGAAGGTGGGCGAGAAAGCGGCAAGGAGAGAGGTGGTGGAGATCGCAAGCGACGACGATCACGATCGAGGAGCCCTACGCGCGAATCTTCGAGCAGGAGGCGCCACGAGGAACGGGACTCGAAGCATAAGAGTTCACGAGAACGCTCTCCGTATCGCAGCGCGAAGGAGGGAGAGGGAAAGGGCGAGAGAGGGGGTTCGGCGACGCAGGTTAGTCGGAAGGCCAAGGGGCCTCTCCCGTCACAAGCGTCGTCGTTCCAGGCAGGTGGGAATACCGAGGGGGCCGTTGTCGTTGCGGAGGAAGTGGAGAAGCAGCTGCCAAACTTCAAGCCCACGGGGTTGTTGGCTGCGGCGTCGAATTCGGTTACACAGGCTGATGGATCGGCGATTGCGCTCAAGTACCATGAGCCGGCCGAAGCACGGAAAGCACCTGCGAGGGACGAGTGGAAGTTATTTGTTTTCAAGGGAAGCGATATTTTGGAGACAATTAACCTCAGTCTGAGGAGCTGCTGGTTGGTGGGAAAGGAGGTGGCCGTTGTTGACATGGCTGCTGAGCATCCGAGTGTCAGTCGACAACATGCGGTCATTCAATTCAGGTACATTGAGAAGAAGAACGAATTTGGGGACAAGACTGGAAGAGTTCGGCCATACCTGATCGATTTGGAATCTGCGAATGGGACATTGCTGAACAAGGAGAACATCCCGCCTAGTCGATATTTGGAGCTGAAGGACAAGGACATGATCCAGTTTGGACATAGTACAAGGGAGTACGTCTTGATGCTATCGAAGGCCTGACGTGGTGACGAAACCATGCCTCCCTTGAACCTTGCTCTCAATATGCTATTATACATGGGCGCCGCAAAATTCTTGGGGCCGATGCTCCCATCTTGAGGTTCACAGACTGTCAACGAATATACGAATTGCTTGGGGCATTTCCAACTCAGGGCGGACAACAAACTTGATGCTCGCTTCATATATAGCGGCTGCCTCAGCACATGGGCCTCTACACCATCTCGGGCGTCATACGAATGTACCGCTGTTTGCAGTACAAGAATGTCTACAACACGAGGAGGCATCCAATGGCCCTCTAGGCCCAGCAGCCCTTGCCCTGCCATTCAAGTCCCAAGATCAAAGTCGCTAACCTTAGTGATAGTCACACATGTGACCAGATGTCTCACTGGTGATTGGAGTCTTATACTGCGGAACACAATTCGCCCTTGGTACAGGATCCTCATCTCCACCGATCTCGGTGTCACTCAAAATGCGGTTGCAAAGCTTCTTCTCACATCTCGGTCACCAAATCGTCGTGTTTCTGTTATCTTCCGAATCGTGGCCCAGTCCCTCATCCCATTTCCCCTGTGGCGCCTGCAAATCGCACGACCCACGCAAATGCCATACGTCCCCAGCGGCTGCCAACTAGGCTGCCAGTCTTGCTCCAGACGAGGCAGCAAGTCTTGCACTCGTTCCAACACGAGTCCCTGAACATATATGTTGCCCAGGTGGCCGAATGCGGCGAGAAAGGGCCCCAAAATTGGAGTCATTATTAACGAGAGCGCAGCTGAGGGAGAAGGCAAGTGCCGGCACCCAAGCTATTACGACAAATGTCCAAAAAATGCCTTCCAATAAAAACACATGTTCCTCAAGTGCAATACAAGTGCGTCGCATGAACTTGAGCTTGAGCCCCATCCTCTGCATCCACGAGATAGATGTCTTAGCCCAGAGTTTGGCCGAACAGTTCTCCAGACTCGAGGATGAGATGGGATGGCAGATGTCCACAAAGCCACAAGGCACAAGGCTGCATACCGGACCTCTTCCGACGGCTGCACTGCGCTGCACTGCAGGCCACAACGCCCAGTAAGAAACCCTGCCGTGCTCCTATACTGCATAGGCTATATAGCACGGGTGGCTTGCCGCCGATCCCTGTATCTAGAGACACCTGCCTAATTGCAGCTGACCTGCATTCTCACTCCCTCAACTCCACGGCACCGCGCCCTCCCTCTCCCTCTTGAATTTTGCCTCCCACCCTCTTCCCCCGGGTGCATCGTTGCTGGGATTTCCTATACAGTGACTCTCAGTGGCGCATCAGTACGCAACGTTCCCCCGTGTGATTCGAGTGCTTTCCGCGTGCCACCTGCTCACACAGTACACCGAAGTCTACTATGTACTAAGGTAGACTCAGCCAGCAGGCAGACGTCCTCTGCATTCTATACACTGCCCTTACATAGCTGGCCTCGCTGTATACTCTGTGTACCTTGAACCATGATCCGCCAAACCGGGCAACTATTGTGTGTAAATATAAAGCTGCGTCTGTTCGTGCAGCCGATAGGGAGGGATCAAGATCAAGCGACAGCCGAGAACGACTACTAGCAGGAAGATGGTAGGTTTAAGCAGCGTGTCCGTCCCATCGCACCACGAAAGGACACAAACTTATCGCTTCGCGCAGGGCTCCGCAATCAATCTCGACGATATCAAGCGCTACGAGGTCACTGAGGTGTACTGCCACCCTGACGCCAAAGTCGACATAGTCCTCGTCCATGGCCTGAATGGCAATCCGAGGAACACATGGACCGCTCCGAATGGGGTATTCTGGCCAAGTCAGCTTCTGCCGGCTTCCCTGAAGTCGCACCAGGCGAGAATACTGGTCTATGGGTATAATGCAGACGTCTACACATTTGGCAGTGAGAAGAGTGGTCCGAGGTGCGTGGCGGGGTCCAGATACATATGTCTTGTATGGAGAAACGCTGACAGAAATTATAGTTCGGACATGATCCACCAACACGCTCAAACCCTCATTGCGAACTTGGCATTAGAACGCAAGGGCGAGGAGGTCCAAGAGCATCCCATCATATGGGTAGCCCACAGTCTCGGCGGCATCCTCGTCAAACGAGCCCTTGAGCTTTCCTTCGATCTTCAAGGCAATCACGACGATGACTTGAGGTCAATCTTCGTCTCAACTTTCGGCGTCATCTTCCTGGGGACCCCCCATACTGGAGCCGATCCCGCCAAGTGGGGATTGATACTCCAAGGCATGGTCAATGCCCTCGTCCCGAAAAAGCTTTTCGAGACGCACTCCCAGCTCGTCAAGACGTTGATCAGCAACAATGAGATCCTGCAGAATATCAACCTTCGCTTCCTGGATTTGTATCCTAACCGTCTGAGGATATGTATGGTGCACGAAGGCCACCCGACGGATTTAAGGGGCACCAAACATCTGATTGTCGACCAGTCGGCTGCGAGCCCTCAACTCCCCGACGTCCAGTACTTTGGTATTGAGGCTACACATTCGGGGATGTGCAAGTTCGAGAGTAAGAATGCTCCGGGCTTTACGAATGTTTCTGTGACGTTGAGGTCGTGGGTGCAGGAGTGTCCGCAGTTCATCCAGACAATGTGGGATGGGGAGAGGTTCTTGAGGAGACAGAAGAGGGAGGATGAGATCGCTCGGCTTCAAAGAATGGTGAGTAAACTCAAATTGACACGATTCTTTGCCCAGAAAACTGATATTCGGTAGTCAGGACTGTTGCCGGGGACTCTGCAGGCGAGTGCCCCAAATACTCCTGGTAGGTCGTACAGCCCGTATCCCGCCCAACCACCCAGCTTCCATCCTAGGGAAGGTTAGAAGCTTGAAATTCTTGTGCGTGGAATCTCGCAGTCTGTTGGACGTCCTCCGAATTATGGTGACGACATTGGGAGCCCGATTCGCAAATTAGTTGCTGCGGATCGTGCTATTCGGAGGATTTGCAATTTCTGGGGGTGGTTTTGGCGTGTATCTCATCTCATCTACGGCGGACTGGGCTGATTCTTCTTTCTTGTAGATCCAGGCTCTGTATATAGTTCAATGGTCATTGCGAAGTCCACCATCAGCATCCCACCCGATGACGCAGAGCAAGAGGCCCCCTATTTCATAAAGCCGTCAGGCTTCCGTCCCAATTCTCTCTTCGTCGGCCGAGAATCAGAACTAGAGCATATGCACAAAATGCTCTTTGACAAGAAGAAGCGAGCTGACGGCACATCCGCTGTCCTGCTGCAGTCACTTCCAGGCGGAGGTAAAACTCACCTGGCTCGGCAGTATGTGTACAACCACAAAGACGACTTTCCCGGCGGCATCTTCTGGCTGCGCGCCAAAAGCGAAAAGGAGCTGGCAGCAGGTTTCTGGGATATCGCACGTAGAGCAGCACTGAAGCATCTCGTCAGCACCGATGAAGCTGGCTCACCGGGAGACCCAGAGCAATTTATCAACATGGTCAAACAGTGGCTCAACAACCGCCACGGGTGGCTTATGGTACTCGACGGCATCCACTTCGCCGAATCCACTGCTGTCAGAAAGTTCATCCCGGACAGCACGAATACCAGTCTCATCTATACATCCACTGAAAAATCAGTCATGGGCGACTACCATTTCATGAATCCGCAGCTGATCAAGCTACCGCTTCTATCTGCTAGAGAGGCGCAGAAGTTACTGCTGCTTGAGTTGGGGAGGATGGAGCCGTTTGCCAAAGATGATTTGAGGTTCTCGATGGAGCTCGTTCAATCGATGGGCTTTTTGCCTGTCGTTATTCATGCTGTTGCAAGCAGACTGAAGACCACGGATGAGCCGCTTTCAAAGTTCGCCCGGACGTACTCGTCAGAGCCTAGGTTACGAGGTCTCGGCACATATATCGCCGTCGTGGAGCAATTGAAAGGTATGGGTGCGAAGGAGGCCTTGAATCTCGTGCAAATCCTGTGTTTCTTTAGTCAACACATCCCAGTGGAGATGATCTCGCTTGGCATCAAAGTACTCGATATCCCCGTCAAAGCCTTTGAGCCCGTCTCGGGCCACTCGCTGAACAACACTTTCAAGATTCTCAACACATTCGCACTGATCAACCGTAACGAGCAGGATACCGAGATCCACTCATCGCAAAGTTCGAAAGGGAGCCGGGATATGCTTTCCGACAACGTCGACGTTATCCGTCTTCACAGTGTAGTCCAGGGGTTCTTCCTCGACACTCTCCACGCAGATGGAAGCCTCCTGGTGTGGCTTGATCGCGCCGTCAGAGTATTCTGCGGCTCATACGACATGGCGAGTGAGAGGATCTCTCGCAAGGCTCATCAAGGTCTCGTCGAAGACTACAGACTATATGAGATACACGGTCTCAAGATCAAGGAGCATTTGACAAGACATGTCCCGAAGCGCCTTTCGAGAGACCAGAAAGAGATCATGGATGAAGCGGATGAGATGCTGGACGCGCGGCTGAGCGCCATCAAAGCGGAGATTGATCGCAAGACTACGGAATCGTCCCAGGTCATCGCTGGAGGGAAAAATGAACTGTTCCAGACGTCGATATTTGATCGGGCGAGCAGCTGTTCAGATACGGGCCCCGAGACACCAGGGGATCTTGATGCTGGTCGTTCTGGTATCACGACTTGGGGGTTGGAGACGGGTACAACAGAACACGAGTCACCCTCAAGCTTGACGCATGATACGAACTACATTCGTCGTATCGATGATGCTCAGAAGGCACACTTCCCATTCCTGGTATCTGAAGACCCTGGATATGAGAGTGATCACGAAGGATCTGTTGCGATGACATTGCACCCTTCTCTGAGGACTATCCCACCCGAGCCGATCAGCACCGAAAGCCCGTGGGAAGAAGTCAGGCCTCGACGGTCGCGTCGAGGTAAAGCTTTACCGCTGCATCGAAGAATCAAAAACTTGGAAAATTCTAGGTATCGAGACACTGCTGGAGCATACCGTGTCGTGAATGCAATCGATCCAAGATTGAGTCGCGATCACGCCCAAGGTTATTTACAAGATAGTCTGTCCAGAACTCAGTCTAGAGGAAGAATATCTGGACGATCTGGTGCCGAAGAATCCCTTGCACACATTAATCAGAGTAGACCACCGCCGGCTAGAGGTGGAGGAGGCATGATCCAGGTCCGGCGCTCGTCGTCACTCAAGCGGAATAGAGGTCGCCTCATATCCGGGCTCTCTTCGTATGCAGCTGCTGTGGCTGGGCCTACACGAGAAGTGATCTCTGGGACGAGAGAGCTCAATAATCCAATTGATATCGTTAGTGAGAGCGAGAGCGCCGCATCGCTGGAGAGGCCTCGTACCTCTGCCGTGGAGTCCCTGCAAAAGCTTCCCATTGACCGGCCATCCACATTAGCAGTAATGCCACCCTACCCAGTCACACCAGCCATTGCTTTCTCATCCGCTACCCAGTACTTCTCAGCAGACAATACATACGACCAACAGGACCTCTCACTTGGGCCCGAGCCCTTACCATCAAACGTCTACCCTCGTCCCGAAGGCCTTCCACCCATTGAAGCTCAAAGATCAAGCTCGCCACATACAATCGTCTGTCATACTCTTGGACGCGAAACTCAGTCCGAACCTCTGCCTGCGTCCATGGTGCTCTCCCGCTCCGATATAAGCGAGATGAGCCTGCTCTCCCTCTCCTCTTCTGCCGCCCAAGTCCAGCGTCCGCACTCGAGCTCGATCGGCGCATATTACCCCGGCCGTCCCGAGCTCTCGAACGCAGAGGGCGGATATGCAAGTCAACTCATTTCGCGCGACCCGTTGGGGCAATCCGTGGCTGCGCGCTCGACTGGCTCCCTAGAATTGAACCTGGAAAGAGAGGAGAGGGCAAGGAAAAGGAGACCCAGTGTGGCAGCCACCGAGCCGGAGCCCCGACTACCAGTGTTCAGTCCGAGGATTGCGCCAACTAGCTACCAGGCTTACGAAAGAATGAGGCGAAGAGACGAGGCGAAGAGTCTGAGTCGTAGGCAGCATAGACTGCTAGACTCTGAGGGACGCGAGAGGAGCACGAGTAGGAGCCAGAGTCGAGGTAATCAGAGTCCTCGCTTGGATGCCGCGAGGGCCGCGCTGATTGAGAAGTTGGATGATCGGGGACACGAGGACTTGTAAGTCTATTTCTCGGCTGCCCCTTTTCCCAGGAGCACGCACCTATGATTGAAGAGAAAGTTAGACGGGCAAAGAAGTATGTTTGGGTTGGGCTAACAAACATCTACCTGCTTACAGAAATCTAAACACGTCGACATCGCCGCAACCCCCTGGGCCCAAACATCCCATCAACCCTACCGCCGCGACCTTCTCACCCTCACCCTCACCCTCCACCTCCTCAAACTTCACGTTCTCGCCCCCCACCATCCCATACCATTCAGCTCCACCGTCTCTGCCTAACAACTCACCCTACTTACCATCCTTAGTCTCATCGACCTACCCATCACCAAATCCACCACCACCACCCTACCACTGCTCCCCGCAGCCAGGTGAAGGCGGTGCAGAGATGCAGCGAGGCGGTAGCAATGGCTCCTCCGGGGGTGCGGGCGTGCGGCTCGGAGCCAGGGTCATCGAGTTCGGCGACTACCCCGAGCCGGTCGATTTGGCGCTGGCGAGGGAACGAGCGTCGGTGTTGCGGATTCGGGGCAAGAGGGACAGGGCTGCTTCTGCTGCTGCTGCTGCTGCTGCTGCTGCTAAGGGAGAGCGGGAGCGGGAGAGAAGGGATGTTGATGTTGGGGCTGGGGCTGGGGCTGGGGTGGGGGATGGGTTAGGGATTTCAGGTCGGAGATGATGATGATGATGATGATGACGACGACGACGGAAAATGGAGCTGGGGAATCGCTGTCACTGTCGCTGTTGCTATCCGGGTCTGAGAGCGGTGTGTATGTATCTGTTGTGGAACTGGAACGGCATGACATGGTATGACATTTCCCAGCCTCCTCTCTCCTTCCTTCTCTCCCTCCTTGCTAGCTAGCTAGCTAGCCTCTCCTCCCTCCCGGACTCTCGACGCGACTCGAGGCATATCTAGTCATTCAATCAGTCCCTTACTTTTATAAGAAGACGGACATTATGTATGGATGGAGTGCGACGGGAATGTGATGCGATGCAATGCATTTGCAGATATGTATGTATGTATGTATGTATGTATGTATGTATGTATGTATGTATGTATGTATGTATGTATGTATGTACTGTAACGCTAGTAAATATATGGGTGCATACATGTGTGCTTGCTTGCTTGCAATCAGTTAACTGTTACTTCATAATATAATGATGCTTGTTGCGTTGCATTGTTGAATTTGTATTTGTATTTGAGCTTGAGCTTTGTTAGAAGACAAGGAGTCGAGGAAGGGTGTGGATTCGCGAGGCTAGGCTAGCTGGCATATGGATAGGAAGCGGGAAGCGGGAATTGGGCGTTGGGTCCATTGTCACGGGTGATTTCTAGCTGGGTTTGTTTACTTTTTTGCTCGATCTGGATTCTGGCATAAGAGATGGCTTGGTTAGGTTTGGTTAGGTTAGGTTAGGTGAAGAAAGGTAGATGGGTAGGTAGGATCTTGGAGGGGGGGGATTGAGGATATATAGGTAGCTCTATGTTTATGTCTTTCTCTTTCTTCCTCGCAATCTCGTGTGTATCTTTCTTTCCGCTCACCACCATCCTTCCCTCCCATATCTTTTTTTTTTTTATCAGTTAGTCTATTCACTTCATGGGTGGTTTATAGACGTCACTGAAAGACTGCCTTCTTTACCTTACTTGCCGTTGCAAGGACGAGGCACGCATAAGGAATAGGGCTCGCTGGCCACGTATGCATAGGTAGATAATATCTTAACCTAGCCAGACACGGGTTTCTGTGCTCTTCCTGGCTACAGTATTGGCACCGTCGGGGTTGTCGATTGTACGACCGATGGCTTGATCCTGGGGGCTTGTTTCCTGCTTGTTTGTTCTTGGTTTGGTCTGGTCTGGTCTGGAGCGATTTATGCAGCTGCATGTTTGATTGAGCTTTCAGCCTCGAGGAAGGGGGAGGGATATGAACGTTTTGATCGAGGGTACCCGAGGGTACCTAATCTACTGCCTTAAAGATTTAAAAAAAAATAAAAAAAATGCTGCAGATATCAATATGCAGTCAGCTGGTATAGAAGTTTCCTGAATAGAGGAAAGAAAAAAGGGAATGGGAATAGGAATGGGAATAGGTATGGGTATGGGTATGGGTATGGGTATGGGTATGAGAGCTTAGAGATTGGAGGGAGGGTGAAGAATTTGGAATAGAGCGCGCAGCAGCAGCAGCGTTAGTCTTGCATGCTGCCCGGCCCCAGCAACGGGTACGATTAGCTAGCTGCTTTACTATGCTATGCTCTGCTATGCTATGCTATGGGCCACTGCAGCCCAGCTGGTATATATGTAGGTATGTGAATATACGTTACGGGCGTGTGAGAAGGGCAGGATGCCGTAGCAGCTGTCAGCCGCAGCGGGCACCTGCACCTGCATCGTTTCGCTATCCATATATTCATATAAATCCATCCATCCCAAGGGCCGGCGACTTCGTGCTATCTGCATGCATGCTTTGTCCGAGAGGGCCAGCCAGCCAGCCAGCCGCATATATACATATACACATACTTACGCACATACATACATACGTACGCATGACATACAGATATATGCATAGAAATGTCAAGATTTGCATTACCGTTTAATCTCGATACCGAGTACAGCTCACCGTCACCGTCACAGGTACCGATACCGATACCGTCGCCGATTACCCAACCTGCAGCTGCGAAAGGGATCGACCCCTATCCCGGATGATCCCAGGCCCGGCTCTCGTACTTTCTTGCATTGCAAATGCAGAATGCACCTATGCATGTCTTCCATGACCGCGGATTGGATTCCCTAGATGCATACCGTACTTGTCTATCTCGTTGATGATCTATATCACTATGGCAATAGTCAGCTGTAGTCGATTCATTCTTAGGGGTTTTGAAGGGATGGGACAATTGGGAGAAAAGGGATGGCAGAGTTTGGAGAAGGGATCGTGTACCGGTATACGGTCGATGTACCGGTACACCGCTGTAGCAATGAGGAGGCAACTTGTGGGTGGGTGGGTGCGCTGCAAGCGAAGTGCAGCTCACCAGCCGACCCGAATATAAATAGCCGCGAGAACAAGGACAAAATCGCACTCGTGCGGATTCCTCTCTCCGCGACACTTGAAACAATCGGCGATCCCAAAGACGGTAGGTTTAGATTGACATTGGGGTTTTCCCGCTTCCGTTTCCTACATGTCGTATTGTGTGCTTTTACGGATATGCAGTCTAGTCATCTGGAATTTATTTTCGGCTCTTTGACACGCATACATACATACATACATACATACATACATACATACCGAGTACATGCGTATACCGGTATATGCAAAGCATATTAAAAAGGGGGTGGGGGGAGGGGGATGATGACAAGCTGTCAGAGGCTGCGGTACTTGTACTACGTGGAATACAGTATCGAGTCATGTCATATCATGGCGGGAATCCGGGATTTCTTTCTTTCTCTGGAAAATCGAAGACATGTCACCTTGTTGTGTGGTAGTGATGTTTGCGACCGTTGCGAGGTTGTACGAGACTCGGAGGGATGGGCTATTGTGTGACGGGAGCCATGCAGCAGCAGCAGCAGCAGCAGCAGGAGGAGATTGATCTGACAAGCAACGGCTTCGGGAGCGCTGATGTGTGTGTGGCGTGGCGTGGCGTGGCGTAGCGTGGCCGTGGAGATGAGTGGAGGCGCTTTTCCTTGATATGTGATTTGGAGGCGTGCGGCGTCGTTGATTATCGTTTTCGGGATGCGGGAAGTGGATGGGGATTGTCGTTCGGAAGTTTGATCGTCCGGGAGTTGAAGACTTGATTTGAGTTTGGATTTGATTGGAGGTCCTTGTCGTATTTGTTTTTTTTTTTTTTTCTTTTTTTTTTCTTTTTTTTTTCTTTTTTTTTTCTTTTTTTTTTCGTATGTGGGCTCGGTAACAGGTATGTATTTATTGACGGCTAGTTGACTACCTGATATTTTCTATGATTCTTCGAATACTCAAGGTGTAGGTAGATCGGTAGGCTAGACTGAGAGGTTGTGACCGTTTTCGAGATGGGTTATCATTGGGGTTTTCTTGATCGGACTCCCGCTTGTTTATTCTTTATGTGCGAGTTATTTGTTGATAGTTACCCGAGCATCTTCAACACGCTGTATTCACTTCAACTGCGCTTAGGCTTGGATCATTCGATAGAGGCATGTATGTCTTTTGTAGATCTCAGGGAGGCTCGTTATCTTTTCGTTCGATATACATTTACCAGAGAGGATATCCTGACTAGTCCTGAATCCACCTGCTAGTTCAGTCGACCCAGTCAGGGTTCATCCCAGTTTTTTCGTATTGAGACTATATGGCGGTCAAGCGATTGACTTTGGAACGGACTAGAGAACATATTCCCAGCCTTTCATTACGTATTCAGTTCAATCTATTGTACTTACAGATAAACATACAGAGTATGCCCAAGTCCCACAAAGGCGTTTTAAGTTTCGGTCTAGGGGGTTTTTCTCTGCCGAATATAAGTTATCTGATCGGTATTCGTCGTAATAGTTGATAGCACTTGATCGCGGTTTAAAAGATTTGCGAAGGGACGTCCTTGCATAGGTGACCACTTTACAGAAGAAGGGAGAAGTACTAGTTTATACTGTGTATACTGTGTATACTGTGTATACTGTGTATACTGGGTATACTGTGTATACTGTATATACTATAACATGTATTCTTATAAGCTTTTATCTCTGAGAAGTCTCCCGGTATGTAGCCCCAAAGGTGGGACGTGCATTCTACCGGTAGTCCCCCCTGGTGGCCTCGACCATCACACGGCCCGTCGCGGGCATCTCGATGCATGGAATTTGAGCTTAAATCCTCAAAGGAACTCCAAAAGTTTGCATCTGGGGCGCGCTAGAGTCCGTCTCAGTCTTCAATCACGAGTATATGATAAGTGGTGACTATATAAGCTTACAGTCACGTATTTTATATACGGAATCTCGCCCACACCGCTAGTTTCAACTTCTCGCTTCCTCAACAACAACATCCATCAGAAATGATCATCAGCCAAAATACACTTCCACCTTCTCGACAGATATCCATTTACTCCCTACACAGCTGGCAAGGGCACGGCGCACTGCCTTCCTCGACAACGCAAGGGGCGTTTCCACTTCAGGCCGCAAGTCCGGTTTGATGGGATCGCCATGGAATCTGCCCAGCTGCCTACCAATGGAGTTGTGCATCTTCGTCTTGTGCAGTCCGACTTCGCGAGGACGACTTCACACGACATAGGACCGACTGCATCCGACGGACCTACCACGGTACGTAGAGACCCTCCAAGATGTCCCGGTGTGGCGCATGTCCTACCTCTTCCTGCCGTGGGACTGGGACCGGGACGGGGACGTGGACTGGCACTGGCACTGGCACTGGAAGAGGAAGAGGAAGAATAAAACCAATCCAGCTGGCCGCACGATCCCCGAGAATCCCGTCACTATCTCCAGTCCAGTAAGAAGAGGCATTTCATCGATCTTCATTCCCAGCTGCGGTGCTTGCTCCGTGATATGCTTCTGTCTATCGCCGGCATATGCGAAGTACGTTCTTGGGAGGAATCCCAACTTGTTGAAACTCGGGTTCCTGAGCATACGCACCACACACGCTCACAGCCTCGTCTCGGCGTCTCCATACCGCCGCTCAGGAACTCGCTGCACAATTGTTGTCCTGCATGTAAGCGGGTCACTTCCCTGCCGTGTTGCGAACATTCTCAGCATAGGGTTCCATGAGCGTGACACTTGCAATAGGGGCATTCCCGCGCAAGCAATTATTCTTGGAACGGAAATGCCGTAGCTGGTGCATAGACTGGGCTGCAGACGGTATCGGTAACAGCCACTCTGATGGTGACACGAAAACCTCCCTAACGCAGCATCAATCAACTATTGCTTGATGATTCTACCAGAATTCGGACTACGCCAGGCCGGGTAACGCTCTGGCTGTATCCGACCCATGAGACCGCCCAGCTGGCTGGATATTGCGATGCTAGTGAGGGGTCTAACGTCGCTCACGAAGGGATCGTCCTCGAATCAGCTTTGTCTTAATCTCACCGTGGGCGAATTCCGTCCTCGTGGTATGTTTATGAGGCTGGGACCGGTGGGTCGTGATCGTTTTCTCTCACCCAATGGTCAAGAGATCGTTTAGGGAATATTCCATTTGCCAAGCCCAAGTCGTCGAGCTGGATCTTGACTGGGACTAACAGTGACTTGCGTAGTAGATGAGCTTGTTGACATACCTGCCTCTCTAGTATCTCGACACCCTTTGTTTTCGGAACCGGGGCCATAGCATCTTAGGCTCATGCACAAGGACAGCCTAATACACACGCCGGACATGTGTTTTTCCCTGATCTGGCTAGGATTTCTTCTGAATTGCTTTTCACTTAGAGAATGAGCTCTGGAACATGAACATACTTTGGGGGACCGTGTGGCCAGGATTCTGTTCCTCGTTTCTTGTCGCGGCTGGCAGGTGTTTTGCCACAGCTAGTACTTTGAGTGAAGGAGAAGGTCCCCATCGTCCCATCTTAAGCTCATTCACATCCTCTAGATCTTTCTGTTCGTCTAATACGTCTTGCTATAGTCATCACAGGCTTTCCAATCACGAACTTTCTGGATGAATTTATCATTTCTCATTACTTATTGCGCAACAATATAGCTTGAGTTGTATATCTTCATCGGCATCTTGTTATATCCTCGTCCAGCTAGAGCCTCAGCTATAGATCCAGACCCCAAAGTCAGACGGGCCAATATATACATATATATACATAAGGGGCGATCCATGGTTTGCCACTCGGTGGACATAATATGAGTTACATCAACGAGCCTATCGCGGTTGTTGGTATAGGATGTCGGTTCCCTGGCGGATCCAACACCCCAGGGAAGCTATGGGAGGCCCTCCGCCAACCCCAGGACCTCTCTGTTCCTATACCGCCGGAGAGATTCGACTCCAGCGGCTTCTACCACCCCGACGGTTTTCACCATGGCACCTCGAACGTGAAAAAAGCCTATTTCCTTTCCGAGGATGTCCGCAAGTTCGACTCCCAGTTCTTTAATATATCGACCGCGGAGGCAGAGTCAATGGACCCCCAACAACGACAGCTGTTAGAAGTTGTCTTCGAGGCTATGGAATCTGCAAATCTCACTCTAGAAGAAATGAGAGGAACATCGACAGCAGTCTACGTAGGCCTGATGTGCGACGACTACTCCGGTCTGATCTTCGCGGATATGGAAACCTTGCCAACATATGGAGCTACAGGTGCGGCGCGCAGCATTCTCTCGAATCGGGTATCGTATTTTTTCGACTGGACAGGACCATCGATGACTATTGACAGTGCGTGTTCGTCTAGTCTGGTCGCAGTACATCAAGCAGTCCAGCAACTGAGAACTGGCGAATGCAAGGTCGCTGTGGCGGCTGGCGCCAATCTCATCCTCAGTGCCAGGATGTTCATTGCTGAGAGTAAGTTGAAGATGCTTTCTCCCAACGGACGCTCCCGCATGTGGGACGTTGATGGAGATGGGTACGCGCGGGGGGAAGGCATCGCCGCTGTCATGTTGAAACGACTAAGCGATGCCATTGCGGATGGCGACCATATCGAATGCATCATCCGCGAAACGAGTGTGAACCAGGGAGGGAGGTCGACAGGTCTCACTGTACCTAATCCCGTTGCTCAAGTCAAATTGGTTCGTCAAACATATCACAAGGCTGGCCTTGATCTGGATCGTTTGGAAGACAGACCTCAATACTTTCAGGCGCACGGGACTGGGACAAAGGTTGGTGACTTGAATGAAGCGACGGCCATACACAATACCTTCTTTGGGAAACCCGAAGACCTCGAAAAGCAAACTTTGTTCATTGGGAGTGTGAAAACCGTCATTGGACATTCTGAAGGAGCCGCAGGGATTGCCGGGATGCTTGAGGCATGCCTTGCTGTAAGTGTGCTTTCTGAACTGTGCTTTTCTCGCTACGCGGAAGCGAATGAGTACAAAACAGACTTGACGTCTTCACAAGCTCGCATGCTCCAACTTCGTCGGAATAGCTTATAGACAAAACCTAACTCGTGCAAATAGATTAAACATGGAATAATTCCACCAAACCTCCACTTCGAGACGCTTAATCCCGCCTTAGAGCCTTTCATTCACAGACTTGAGGTTCCAACCAAGGCACAGCAGTGGCCGTCCCACACGGGAAACGTGCGAAGAGCAAGTGTCAACAGGTTTGTTCAGCCATCGCTCTATCCCAAGGCAAAGGTTAACTAGAACTCTAGCTTCGGATTCGGTGGTACCAACGCGCACGTGATCCTTGAAAGCGCCCCTGAACAAGCGAGACCTCCTCCGACGATTGCACCAGTACCAATGGTTGCACTTCCATTCGCGTTCTCTGCGGCGTCGGAAAAATCTCTAGGCGCCCTCCTCACCAACTATTCGCAGTTTCTCAGCGACTGCCCGGAGACGAATCTGAATACCTTAGCCTGGACGCTTCTCGCGCGAAGATCGGTCTTGACATACAAAGTTTTCCTGACTGCCCAGTCGACGTCTGAACTGCGCGCAAAGCTGAATGACGAGCTTGAGAACAGGAGGAATGGAAATTCCCGAACCTTGTCTTCACGTTCCTCCGCCAGAGCTAAGCGAATTCTTGGCGTGTTTACCGGCCAAGGCGCTCAATGGCCCACCATGGGCTGGGATCTGATCTCGACATCGTCGGTTGCAAGGGCAACAATCAAGAGACTCGAAGAAATCTTAGGCTGCCTGCCTGTTGAACATCGGCCCAAATGGTCTTTGACAGCCGAGTTGTCTGCGCCAGCATCAACGTCGCGGGTAGCCGAAGCTGCCATCTCCCAGCCGTTGTGCACTGCCGTTCAGATTATCCTCGTCGATCACTTGAGAGCGGCCGGGATAAACTTCTCTGGGGTAGTTGGTCACTCGTCTGGCGAAATAGGTGCAGCTTATGCCGCAGGGTTCATATCCGCCGATGCAGCCATCAAAGTTGCATACTATCGAGGCTTCTACGCGAACCTTGCCGGAGCCGGTGTCCCAGGAGCCATGATGGCTGTCGGGATCTCAAGAGACGAAGGTGTTAAGTTTTGTAGCCGCCCAGAATGCACAGGCAGAATAGTCGTTGCAGCCAGCAACTCTTCCACAAGTGTCACGCTTTCCGGAGATGCGGATGCAATCAATGAAGCAAAGCTATACTTCGAGGGCCAAGAGACTTTTGCACGAGTCTTGAAAGTTGATACGGCCTATCATTCACACCACATGATCCCATGCTCAGACCAATACCTGGGGGCGCTCAAAGACTGCAACATAGAGCTTTTGCCAAGGGCAAATGATGCTTGTACCTGGTTCTCGAGTGTCAACGAAGGACACACAATGGACGCTCATGATGCATTGCTAGGACCGTACTGGATGGAAAACATGCTCAAGTCCGTTCTGTTCTCCCAGGCTCTCACTGCGTCTGTTGCGAGTGGCTCGTATGACTTTGCACTGGAAGTCGGCCCCCATCCAGCATTGCAGGGCCCAGCTTTACAAACCTTGCAAGAAGCTACCGCCAGCAAGAATCCAACTCCATATATCGGTCTACTATGTCGGGGGAAGTCAGGTTTCGAGACATTCGCAGAAGCGTTGGGCTCCTTGTGGGCGCATTTTGGTGTCAAGTCCTTTGACGCCGCCGCATACGAGCGCCTCTTTAACTGCGAATCTTCTCGTCATCCGCTGCAAGGCCTCCCTTCTTATCCGTGGGATCATGAACGCACATTATGGTTTGAGTCTCGTGGTTCCAGAGAGAATCGCTTGCGTTCAGAGCCTCCTCACCAGCTTCTCGGCATCACCACGAGTGACCAGGCAGAGGGGGAATTGAAATGGCGGAACTACTTGAAATTGAGCGAGATTCCATGGGTCCGTGGACATCAGATCCAGGGACAGACCATCTTCCCTGCTGCGGGCTACCTTGTCATGGCTCTTGAAGCGTCCAAAATCATGGCACGTGATCATAACGTCCAGTTGATTGAGATCCAGGACTTCCATATTCTTCAGGCGATTGCGATCAGCGACGATGAGGCTGGCGTGGAGACGCTCTTTAGTATCAAAAACATTGCCTCCGATGCTGCGAAGAGTCGAGCTCTTACTGCAGGCTTCACCTGCCATGCTTGTCTGAGCCGGGATGCTGGATCTTTGGTCCTCGTCTGCTCGGGCAAACTCATGTTGCATCTTGGGTCACCGTCTGATTCCACACTCCCAGAGCGGAGTCTCAAAGCGATTAATGATCTACGCGAGGTCAATATCAATACATTCTACAGCTGCCTGGCCGATGTTGGCTATGGTTACACAGGACCTTTCCGCGGAATCTCCTTCCTGGAGCAGAAGCTGGATACATCCACTGGCTTTATCATGGATTCAAATTCAACACTTTCCGAACCTGCGATGATGATGCATCCTGGAACTCTCGATTCCGCCATCCAGACTTTGTTTGCCTGTCTAGGCACGCCCGGTGACGGCAGCCTTTGGACACTACACGTCCCCGTCGCGATCAAGAACATTCGAGTCAATCCCGCTACGTGCAAGGCGACGAGAGACCATGTCACTGGCAGACCGAAAGATGTTCTCTTCGATGCCAATCTCGCTGATAGTCTCTCCAACACACTCTGTGGCGATGTCTACTTGTACGATCTCGACACCCGAAAAGCCATCTGCCAGATTGAAGGAATCGAAGTCAAGCCGCTGATGCCCGCCACCGCCGCCGATGACCGCCTATTATTCCACGAACTGGTTTGGGGGACGGCCGAGCCAGATGCCGCTCTTGTATACAGGAGTAATGGATTCTCGGCCGTTGAGATCCAGAAGGCCGAGGTGCTCGAGAAGATCTGTCTGTACTATTTGAAGCAATTACTAGATTGTGTCACAGCAACCGAGCAAGAAGAGACCAGTTGGCATGGCAAAAGAATTCTTGCTTTTGCGAGTCATGTTGTGCAAAACACCCGGGCAGGGAAACACGCCTCTTGTCGCGCAGAGTGGCTGGATGACACTTGGCAGGATATCCAAGTTGCTGCCCACCAGTGCGTTCAAGCCCCCCCCTAAACTTACTATATACACCTTCTGACCGTCTATAGGTATGAAGCGGATGTTGATTGCAAACTTTTGCACGTCGTGGGCACGAAATTGGCCCCCTTCATCCGTGGCGAAACATCGATCCTAGAGCATATGAGGCAGGACGGCCTGTTGGACTTGTACTATCAGAACTCGGAGTTATTGGAGTACAACCGGTATGCTGGACTCCTTGCAGCACAGGTTGCATTCAGATACCCTCTGATCAAGATTCTCGAAATCGGTTTGTCTCCCTTCTATTTCTGCAATGTGCAGCGCTGACGCGAGACAGGTGCTGGGACTGGGGGGGTAACCCGGTCCATACTGAAGCATCTTGACAACAAATACTCGTCATACACCTTCACAGACATATCAGTCGGCTTCTTTGAAGAAGCGCGGGAGATATTCAAAGGCCACGACCGTATAATATACGAGGCCCTTGACATTGAACAAGATCCTGCCACTCAAGGATTCTCTGAACACTACTATGATCTCGTCATCGCATCCAATGTACTCCACGCCACGAAAGGCCTCGACAATACCATGACGAATGTCCGCAAGTTACTGAAGCCAGGGGGCAAGCTCTTGATTCTTGAGGCCATCGACAATGGCGCAACGAGAGTCGGGTTCAGTTTCTGTGGCGTGCCTGGGTGGTGGGCTGGCGCGGATGATGGGCGAGACCTGACACCTTTGATTACCCCTGGGCAGTGGGATTCCCTGCTACTCCGGACTGGATTCTCAGGCATCGATACTGTCACTCCCGGGACCGAGTCTGTTTACCAGCCTGTCGCCGTCTTCGTGTCGACTGCTGTTGATGATGAGATTCAACACCTCCAAAAGCCGCTTGCATATTCTGGATCCCAAGACCCCCTCGACACCATATTCATCGTCGGCGGAAAGACTGACATGACGAGAAACTTGATGATAGGTCTCAAGGATCTGCTAGGTCCGTGGGCCAATAACATCGAAACCCTCGACTCCCTCGAAGACGGCCCGAAGCTACAAGACTTCTCCATGGTCCATGTTTTGAATCTCGCCGAGCTGGACAGTCCCATGTTCGAAGATTTGACCTCAGAACGTCTGGAATCCTTCAAGGAACTCCTCAACATCTCTAGAACCTTTCTCTGGGTGACAGCCGGCAGCAAGTCTGACAGGCCATACTCCAACATGACGCTTGGAATCGGACGGACGCTCGTCCACGAGATGCCACATCTTCGTCTGCAAGTCCTGGATGCTGCCCATCCGGCTGAGTTGACCGCATCTCTACTCGCTGAGGTATTCCTCCGTATCGTCTTGATAGAGACGTGGGAGAACGATATCTACGCCCCGAAGCGAATGTGGTCTAATGAGCCAGAACTGTGGCTCGAAGACGGCCGCCTACAGATCACCCGAGTGGTCCCAGATGAAGCGGCAAACAACCGGCTCATGTCTAGCAGGCGTGTTATTGAGGAAGAGGTTGCTTGTGAAGAAGCGATCGTGGAGGTCACACATCCTGGAACCTCTTACGAGCTGCAACGATGTGTGCCTGTGCCTGAAGATCTTTCTGCTGCCACGCGAGAATCCGTTTCAGTCAAGGTCACGCACTCTACGTTGACGGCACTGAGGGTCAAGAACGCGGGATTCCTATATCTTGTCATCGGTGAGATGGGAGGCGTGGGGATGAAGGTCATCGCCTTTACTCAGTCACTGGCATCGACGGTCACTACGCCGGCGTGCTGGACATTGCCTTGGCATGTGAGGACCGGCGACGAAGCCGCATTGTTGATGGCGATCACGCATGAGATGACTGCAGAGACTATCATTGATATGGCCGTTAAGAATAGCACTCTGTTGGTGTTCGAGCCGGAACGGTCGCTCGTCTCCGCCATTGACCGGATATCCAGACACAGCGGCATCAACCCCCTTTTCGTCACGACAGGACAACAAATGCATCTGTCCGATACCAGCGGGTGGCTGAAGCTGGATCAGTTCTCGTCAGACCGGGAGATCAAGTCAAAGATTCCAATGAACGTCTCTACGTTTGTAGATATGTCCGAGTCCGACTCCTCGGATCTGGCTCAGAGGCTTGGGTCGTTGCTTCCAGTCCACACCCAGCGACAAAGACTGTCCGAACTGTTCAGCCAGACTCCGAATTACTCTCCATCTAAAGCCTTCCGGAGGGTTGCTGATAGCCTCAGCATTGCACTTGCGAACTCGAATGCGGCGACACCAGCTACCGGGTCTGCGGCCTGTCCGACTGTTATCAGCGCGATGGATCTACCTCGAATCACTCCTTCGCTTGAGAACGTGACGATTGTGGATTGGACTACCTGCTCGAGACTACCAGTGCGGATCCAGAGCGCCGAATCTTTGATGCGGTTCAAGAACGACAGAACCTATCTCTTGGTCGGGATGGCAGGCAACCTAGGCCGATCGCTCTGCCGATGGATGATACTGCACGGGGCCAGGCACATTGTACTCACCAGCCGGAATCCCGGAATAGAGCAAAGCTGGCTTGACGAGATGGCTCAACTGGGCGGAGATGTGAAGGTGATGGCCATGTAAGTCCCGGAGCAGATTCGACCGGGGATGACACTAATCACAATCGCAGGGACGTCACTTACAAAGAGTCATTGCTGTCAACTCACAAGCTGATCGTCTCTAAGTTGCCGCCAATAGCAGGTGTTGCAAATGCCGCCATGTTGCTCAGCGATACCTTGCTTTCCAACATGACTTTCAAGGAGATGAAGACTGTCATCTCGCCAAAGGTAGACGGGAGCCGCTTTCTCGACGAGCTCTTCCCCCACGATAATCTGGACTTCTTCATCCTCTTCGGGTCCGCCGTAGACGTGATGGGCAACTCGGGCCAGTCCGCCTATTGCGCAGCCAACATGTTCATGAACAGCCTCGTATCATCACGCCGCAAGCGGGGTCTCGCCGGCTCTCTCATCGGTCTCGGCGAAGTTAAGGGGGTGGGCTACGCTGCCCGCATGAACCGGGAACTGAACGATATCATCGGCGCCACCCTGCCGCTTTCGGAGAAGGAGGTCCATCATATGTTCGCGGAGGGAGTCCTTGCCGGTCGGCCAGGTAGCGGCCGCAACCCCGTCTTGTACGCTGGAATGGACTCGAAAGACCCGCGAACGGATCCTGATATTCTCTGGTATCCTCACCCGAAGTTCTGGCACTACATAGAAAGTGGCGATGGAGCGACGTCAACGGAAGCCAAAGCCGCGACGGTGACTTTGAAATCTCAGCTTGCTGTTGCGACGGATATGGACGAAGTGGTGAACATCGTGACAGGTCCGTTTTCCTCCCCTACTTACCTACTACCGTAAGTTTGAAATGTACTAACCACGACGAAACAGAGGCCTTCTCCCAGAAGCTCAGACACAAACTACAGATCTCGTCGGAAGCAGCCGTCCCTTCCGAATCCGTTCTCCTGGAACTCGGCATCGACTCCCTCGTCGCCGTCGACCTCCGCGCCTGGTTCGTGACCGAGCTCGGGGTCGACATGCCGATCCTCAAGATCCTCGGAGGCGCGTCGATCACCGATCTCGCCACAGATGCCGTTGCCCGCCTGCCAGCCACCCTCCTCCCCGCTGTGCCGAGCACCGTCTTGAAAGCCGAGGGAGAGACCACCACAACAAGCTCCCAGGCAGTCCTGGTCCCCAACGGTCTCGGTGGTCACGATCTCCTCCTTGCCCCGGCGGAGGAGAAGCCAAACGCTTCCTCTCCTCCTCCTCCTCCTCCTCCTCCTCTTCTTCCTCCGCGGAAGAAAGGCCACTCCAAGAAAGCATCCCTGGTCTCCCTCTCCTCGGAAGACGGCTGCTCTTCCGGCCCCGAGCGGGAGATGTTTTCCAAACCCCACAGCAGCTCCCCAACCGTCTCCGTCGCCTCGTCCGTCACAACAGAAACAGACCACGAGGCTGGCGTCGTACGAGGCCGGAAATCCGCGCCCAGCTCTTCCTCTGCTGCTGCTGCTGCTGCTGCTACTACTATCAACCAGAAGACGACGCAAATACGATCTGGGCCGAGCAAGCGACCGATCGCCGACGACGACTGCGACGACAAAGATGAGAACTGCGGCGGCTCTTCTTCTGCGGCACGGCGTAGCAAACGGCGCAGAAAACAGCCCGAGAGTAAAATGTAGAGGCCCTCTCCACCTCTCCATCAAGGAGTCTTGTGTCGATCTTGAGTTTGGCTGTTTCTTTGTTCTTATTCTTCTTCTTCTGCTTCTTCTTCTTCATGGTTGTTTGGTATAGACATACACACATATCCCTACGGCGCCGTCTCTTCTGCTTGGCTTCTCGCAATCGCAATAAGCCAGTGTGTGGGCTTTTCTCCTTTTCATATTTTGCACAACGAGTCTAGAAAGGTCAGCTTGCTTGCTTGCTTGCTTGCTTAAACACATATCTATTCATGTTCTTCGCGGTGGCATTTGGATGGCAATAGTATATATATACATATATATATACACATAACTAAATAGCGCTTCTCTCTCTCTCTCTCTCTCCTTCTTGTTTGTCTTTTTTCTTTCCGGTAGATTATGTTAGTTTTCCAAGTGCGGTATCGTCTAGACATTGCTCGCTTGCTTTGTGTAGGGCTTTGAGATAATTCAATTCACTTCAATTCAATCGCAACGAAATGATAGCGCACATAGGTTAGCTGGGCCCTGATCGGATCGGATCGGATCGGATCGGATTAGATTAGATCAGATTAGATCAATCACCTAAACAAATAGGTAGCCAAGCCAGCATTTCCGTCTTCTCCCTCCATAGGCTTCGACGGCAGAGCAGCTGCTAACCTGCTCCTGTACGCGAGTCAGTCAGTTATCCAAAAAGAGAAACAAATCATTCCGTTCCATTCCATTCCATCCTATTCTTCTTCTTATTCTTCTTCTTATTCTTCTTCTTATTCTTCTTCTTATTCTTCTTCTTATTCTTCTTCTTATTCTTCTTCTTATTCTTCTTCTTATTCTTATTCTTTTTCTCATTCCATTCCATTCCAACTTCTCATAGTCCCTAACTTCCAATTTCTTACGCGCGTACTCATTCTACCCGGTACGGCAAGGACCACCTTTGTTTGACATGATAAGTTGTGTGTACGGAAGATGTCGTAGGTAGGAATTCGCAGGGGGCTCGGCTCGGCTCGGCTCGGCTCGGCACGCTACGCTGCGCTTATTTTTACTTATTTTATTTTATTTTACTTGCTATCGGAGGAGGAACGCTCGACTTCCCACTTCCCACTTCTAGACTTGAAACTCCGAACTCCAACCAAAAAAAGAAAGAAAACCACCCCCCCCCCATAAACTACCAGACCAGAGGACAACAAGATGGATATGAAAAATGTGTGGCTGAGAGTGCTGCAGGCCGGAGCCATCAAGTCATAATATTCTTTTCATCTTCATCTTCATTCTTTCTGTCTCGACTACCATCTCGCTTTCATCACGCGATCCCTAGTGACGAGATCTCGCCCTGTTCATTCACTGGCTGCGGACCAACATTATACGAAGCCTTCCACCTCAGCTTTACCGAATCGCCCTTTCCCTGCTCAACGCCATTCAGGAAAATGACTTGCTTCACGCCAGATTGCTCCCGAGGGTGTAGGTGTCGTCCGGTCTGTGGTTGAAGCTTAAGCGAGTACCCCTGAAGGCCATTCATTAGCTTTACCCGTCATCAAGTAACTGGGAGAGTTGTATGTTTACCTTCGTGACTGCAGCCTTGAACTCCAGTTCAGAGATTGGATGGTCGGAGTTACTGGAGAATGTAACGGACATTGTAATGACGGATGGTGTCTGTGGTTCTCGAGTGGCGAACAGAGAGATGCCGAGACCTGTATTGCTGACTTGGATTGTGTTTGAAGATGGAGGACCTTCGGGAAGTGCAGACGAGAAAGCCCACTCATCGTCATCAGCAGCAGCCGGGGCTGCGGCCGGGGGAGCTGTTTGTTGGCTTCCGAAATCAAACATTGACGGACTGGCTTGTTGGGGAATTTCTTGGCGTGGAGAAGCGAGGGCGGCAAAAGGATCGGTCGGGGGCTGTGGCTGAGATATCTGAATTTGCTGCATAGCGTGCTGCTGTTGTAGAGCTTGCTGCTGCTGTAGCGCTTGCTGCTGCTGTAGAGCTTGCTGTTGTTGAAAAAGTGATGGCTGTGGTGTTGTCGGTTTTGAAGAGGCTTGAGCGGAGCCGAATGCAGAGAACGCAGAGTAGTCTGGCTTAACTTGTGCTTGAGGGGGGGCTGGTGACCGTGTAGGTGTTGGCCCTCTTGCTGTGCTGTGTTCCGAGGTTGAAGACATTAATGCTGGGCCTGGCATGCCTACAAGAATCAGTGATTGGCCAACATCGCTTCGAAGCATTGACCTACCGGTGTTGCTTCCAAATCCAAGGGAAATTCCACCACCTTGTCCAAAACTACTTTCGCCCATCGACAGCCCCAGCAAATCATCCTCGAGCCCACCGGGTTGGGAAGGTACCGGCGCAGATGCCGAGCTACTTTCATTGGTCTCTAGATCACCATCAAAATCGATCAAGGACAGCTCGTTGTCAGCGTTCTTGCTAACTCCAGTGCTGGTGCCCAATGTCCCCTTTGCGATCTTGGCTGCGCCCTCCACATCACCTTTCTTCATGAGCTTGTACCGCTCAACCGTTCGGTGTATGCTATCGTTGATTTCCAACAACTTCGCTACCGCCTCGTGGTCATCAGACTCCTCCTCGCACATTCTTTGGATCTTTGGGTGTGCGCTCTGAAGTGCAGAAGCCAACTCCTCAAAGACATCCCCTTCAGTCATGACATCGCCCGCTTGGAATCCCTCGAGACGCTCTTCCAAAAGTCGAGCTTTCTGCTGCACTTTGCCGACTTCCTCTGCTGCCTTTGCGCGGTAGTCGGTCTTCTGTCGAGTGTCGTAGCCCGCCATAATTTTCATTAACCGGTTGGCTTCCTGCAAATCCTCTGGTCCGCCTCGACGGATCAGCTCCTGCAATTTCGCAGACTGGGCATCTTTTTCCTCCTCCTCCATTTCTTCTGCAGATCGGAGGTTCTAGTTCAATTAGTTAATGCCCGGTCTGTACTACGCAGCAACTCACATCACTCGGGTTCAAGACCGCAGCATCGTCTCTCCTGACCTCTGGAAACACGTATCCCTTATAACTAAGCAGCCTATGCATATCCCGGATGAATCCCAAGTCCTCCTTGTACCGCGACGTCTGGCATATCGTGCCCCGCCACTCCTCGATGGCCTCCAAGATCTTCATCTGCACCCTCGTTGCTCGAATCGGGGGCCTCTCGGGAAACCTCCTCACAAGCTCATTCAGAAATTCTTTCGTGCTGATCTGCAAATGGAACGGGTATCCGCAGTTCTTGACGCAGATATCCAGCAGGTTGAGGGCTAGCAGCGAGACATTCGGGTTGCGGTGGTTAACGTAGTTAACTATGGCCACAGCGGCCTCGCGAGGCGCATTGCCCTTTTTGGAGTTGATCAGGTCGGCCACCTCGAGATTCACGGCGAGATTGGGCTCGAAGTTCTCGGGACTGCAGGCCTGCTGGATGTAGCGCTGGAGGTTCGAGGGGCCTGGGTCCCCCATCACGCTGAAGCGGTCTCTGGCCGCCATTCGAGCGGACGCCGCCTCCATGTGGAGGGCTGAGGATGGATATGGCCACTACTGGGCGACAGGAAGGTGAGGCGGGCAGAAGAGTGAGAGGTCCGGAGTCGAGGTGAAACTGTAGGTGTAAGTGTAAGTGAAGGTGTACGGATAGGTGTATACTTCCCTCTACGAGATCTTGGTGGGGGAAGCTCGGGCCACATTGGGGATCAAAGAGAAGGTAATCCAGTCTTCAGCCTCATCGTCACCACAACACAACGCAATATCACCTCTCCATCAACTTACAGATCCCACGATGGTACGACACAAAAAGGATGGCTTCTCGGCGCGAGGCGGCAAGAAATACAGCAATGCACCTCGACGACAAGGCCCCAGCCGCGACGGCGACGACGACGGACATCCCGCATCGCGCCCCTCATTCAAAGCAGCATGTTGGGATTTGGGCCATTGCGACCCCAAGCGCTGCTCGGGCAAGAAGTTGATGAGGCAAGGGCTCATGCGCGAGCTTCACGTTGGCCAGAAACACTCCGGCGTCATCATTAGTCCGAATGCAAAGCAGACCATCTCCCCCGCCGATCGAGAGTTGATGGATACATACGGCGCTGCAGTGGTCGAGTGTTCGTGGGCGAGGATCAAGGAGGTGCCGTGGCCCAAGATTGGAGGGAAGTGCGAGAGGTTACTGCCGTACTTGGTGGCTGCGAATAGTGTCAACTATGGGAAGCCGTGGAGACTGAACTGCGTAGAGGCGTTGGCAGCGGCATTCTACATCTGCGGACACCCCGACTGGGCTGAGCAGATCCTGGCACCATTCTCGTATGGAGAGGCATTCCTGGAGATCAACTCATCTATTTTGAAGCGATATGCGGCGTGCAAGGACGAGGCGGAGATCAAGAAGGCTGAGGAGCATTGGATGACGAGACTAGAGAAAGAGTATGCGGATAGTAGAGGTAACGGGGAGGATGGGACCGAGACAGATATGTGGGCGGGTGGAAACTCGAATCATCGCGCACCAGTCAGTTCTGAGGACGAGGACGAAGATGACGAGGACAAGGATATGGAAGAGAGTCGGGACGAGGTCGACGGTATCTACCTGGGCAAGAAACCAGAGAAAATTGAGCCTGCGGAACCAGAAACAGAAAGAGACCCCTTCGAAATTTCAGACGACTCGAACGAGGAGGAGGAGATGGCCGAGTTGAGACGTAAAGTCCTCGCTGCGAAACCATTTTCGAATCCCCAGGACACACAAAAGAAGCAACCCGAGAAAATTTCTCGGCCAGTCCCCCTCAAAGAAGATTCGGAGGTAGAGCCAGACTCGGACAACGGCGACGATGATGATTTCGACAATATTATCGATGCGACGCCTGTGACGGATAGAATAGGCATCAGGGCGAAGGAGAAGAGTAGGGCTCAAGAACCGCTTGCCAGTGCAGTCTTCTCCCGAACTGTCGGTGGTGCTCCGAAGAAATGGTAGCCATAATCAAAAGACTCGAAGCATGATCTGACCCTCGTTGGTGTAATAAGGGTAAGTATACCAAGGCATATTCTGAAACTCCTGGATTTACCTGATCCCATCAGCCCCTTGTCGGTCGAGATCGTATGCGTGCGTATATTTTTACGCATAGAACCTCTATGTCATTTCTGCTTTTGAAATAGAATGACTAGTAGGTTTTCACCTGTGGCAGCTATTGCTACCCGCGACTTGATGCAAGGTTCAATCCGTGGTCTACTTTGTCACGATGTCTACGCATCTAGACTCCATACATCCTTACCGCCCGCATTCACAACACCGAAAACCGCTCACGTGCCTCGGCCGCCGACTTGGGGGTGAGTTTAGATGGATATGCGAAGGACGGAACGTGGGAGGGAGGCAGGTCTGTGGTAGGTGTTATTGTTGCCCGGGTCTGGGATAGGGTTGGGATTTATTGCGCATGGGTTGGCTGCTGATGTAACGTGCAGATGGAAAGGGCGTTGAAGAAAGTGTGGATTCACTCGAACACAAAGGACAACATGCGTTACATCTTCTTCATTCGCTATATATCATCCTCTCACAGCTACACATCCCGCCGAAGATATATACCAGATCTGTCTACCTGGCGCAGTAGCCGCCATCAATGATCAGATCCGCGCCCGTCGTGTACGTGCTCGCATCCGAGCAGAGATACACATACGCGCCCTTCAACTCCTTCGCCTCCCCATCCCTCCCCATGGGAATCATACTCTTCCACAGATCCTGCGTATCCTTGGGCACGAAATCGCTCAGGCCCGTGTCGATATAGCCCGGGCTGATGGAGTTGACTCGGGCAAAGCCGCGCCACTCGTTCGCCAAGCTGCGCGCCATGTGGATGCAACCGGCCTTCGCCACGTTGTAGCTCGTCTGCTCCTGGGGGAAGTTGGCAATGTGGCCGCTCATGCTCGCCGTGATGACGAAGGAGCCTGAGCCGCGCTCCTTGAAGTGCGCCCCGACGGCCTTCGCACAGTGGAACGTTCCGTTCAGATCCGTCTTGATCACCTCGTTCCACGCCTCGACAGTCCCGTCCAGCACGCCAGCGTCGGCGGTACGGCCGGCATTGGCGACGAAGGCGTCGATCTTGCCGAACTCCTTGATGACTTCGGCGACGAAGGAGGACACCTCGTCCCAGTTGCCGACGTCGCACTTGTAGGCTTTGACCTTGACGCCGTATTTCTCGGCGAGCTCCCTGGCGTTCTTCTCGCCGCCTTCCGGCCGCGAGGAGTAAGTTATCGCGAGGTTGGCGCCCTAGAGTGGGGGAGGTATTAGTCTGGGGTTGTCTTTGTTGTTTTGTGTGTATGAGTATACATCAATGGATGGACGGATGGACGGATGGACCGCTGGATCGATCGAAGGACATGGGAGGACCCGGGTGAGGATCACGCTGAGGATGAAGATGAAGAAGAAAAGACCAACCATCTCAGCTAGTCCTCGAGCAGCTTCAATGCCCATCCCCTTGGCTCCCGACGCGCCCGTCACGACAGCGACCTTCCCCTTCATGGAGAACATCTCGGCCAGCGAATCCGTCTTGGGGATTGGTTGGACCATCTTGGGCAGCAGATAGATCTATCTAGTCGATGCACAGTTCACCCGTCGATATCGTCTCTTTTTTTCTCTTTTGTTTCGTGGTCTGAGCCTGGAAATCGAGGGGAAAGAGAGAAAAGGATGGATGGGTTGTCAGGACGGGATAGATGGGACGGACAAGCTGGAGGCTTTTTATCCACCGCAGGATGGGGGGGATGCAGGATGCAGGATGCAGGATGCGCCAATGCATCATGTATGAGCTCATGGTGGGGGTGGGTGGTGGTGGGCGGTGGGCGGTGGGCAGTGGGGAGTGGGGGGTGGGTGCTGGGTGCTGGGTGCTGGGTGCTGGGTGCTGGGCCACTGGACTGCCGGTACCGGTAATGATGCTCATGCTAGGTAGATATTTACTAATCCTGCTGCTGCTACGACTACCTACTACTACCACTACAACTACAACTATTACGGACTACTATTACTACTGCTACTACTACTCCTCCTACTACTCCTACCACTACTACTATTACTACTCCCTCTACTCCTCCTACTACTCCTCCTCCTCCTACGACTGCCGCTCTCTCTTCCTCTTTCCCCGTCTCGAATGCGGCATGACGTTGACGTTGACATTGAGGCACTCGTTCCCCCTCGCCTATTTGCTTACTCATACAGGCTTTCGGGCATGGCGCTGGCGCGGGGACGGCTCGGGGACGACGGGCCCAGGATGGTCTTTTGACGACGATTGACTCCGTAATCGATAATGGCTCTACAGATTATTTCAGTTACGATTCAAAATCATTCAAACCATTCCAACCGTCTTCTTTTCCGACTGTATTCAGTTATAAGCACCGATCAAGGGTGATTTGAGTAGTCGGTAGTGCCAACCTCTTTGGACTGTCTTTGGGAGAGAGCGTTTTAGGAAGGTCAGCTAACCGTTCAATGGTCGCGGATATCTTCTGCAGGCAAACACTCTACGGAAGAGCGGGGTTGTATTGCATTGGAGCGAGACGGTTCGTCTCGATGTCCATATTTGCCAAATTTGCGAAAATCGGATCGGGCGTAAGGGGGCGGGGATAACGGGTTTTGGAGATGCAGATGTTATCTCATTAGGACTGGTTGGTCTGGGTCATCACACCCTTTGGCCGTCGGAGACGGAGAGTTGAACGCATTTCTCACGGCTTACGTCGAGCATTCAACACATATTGCTTCTTTGGCCGAGGGTATGTTCCTAAAGCTCTCGCACGGAACCACGAAGTCTTTGTTGACATCGGAGCAGCATTCTCGCTTCATTTCCTCAAGAGCCTATTCCAGCAGATGTCGGCCGACTTCGCCCAGTCCAATTCTCTGAGTATGACTCTCTGCAGATTTCATCTTCCAATCCTGAAATAGCATGAAAGTCGATAACAAGTTGCCAGTTTCCAATCCCGCTTTTACGTAGCCAGACCTTGTCCAGATCTGTTGGGTATGTCGAGCTTCTTGTCTCGTAGCTCTGGGTACAATTCATCTCCCGAAACTTTCAAGATCACTGCTTGGTTTCCAATGTCTCAGGCTCACCACGCCATCTTTTGTTTAGTTTTGGTGACCCCAAATGTTGTACGACAGTAGGTGTGATTGGTCCACGTGATCAGACAGCATATTACCTGCAGGATCTTCTCCATTGCAGGTTCTGTTCCTCCGTCTTCACCTTCGAAGATATCCCGGTCTCGATTGAACTACTTATTATAATGGCAGAGGTGTTCGGGATCGTCACGGGCGTTTTGGGCATGCTTCCACTGTGCAGAGGTAAAGTCAGTCAGTCCCGGCGCTACATCGCCACGACACTTCACCCGAATTAACGAACAACAGATGGCCTGACCATGATCAGGGATGTCTTCGACTCGACAAGAACGCTGGACCTAGCAGTTGGGAGGCTAGAGCTTCAACAAGACGCACGCATCACTGATCTTTGGTCCCAAATATATGTGCTGACACACGTGACAGAAGTATGATCAATGGCGAGAAATATGGATGAACGACCAGGGAGATGCCGATTTGAAATTTGAGGACTATGCCAAAGCCAATCCTGCTGCCGCAAAGCGAGTTTTTCGGCATTTGGCGTTGATGGCTCTCGCGTTGTTTGATGCGCATGCTCTGGAGGACAAATACGGAATCAAGCCGAGCTTTTGGCCGGACCGAGTACGTACTCGCATCTTGGTCTGACCAAGCTGATATTCTTAGGAATCAAAAGACCTGTCCAGGTTTCGATTGAGAGAAGGCGAGAATCTGAGCCTTGAAAGTCAGGGAACATTTATTGAGCGGTGCAAAATGAACATGTCTTTCATCAAAGACTGCAAATTCATCTTCAGAAAGAAAGACGCTGTATGGACGGGTCTCATCGATCTCATCAAAGAGTACACCGAGATCCTCGCTACATACGGCCCGAAATACGAATTGGAGAAGATGCTCAAAGGAGAATTCGGAGTTATCCGCAAGCTGAAACTTGCAGAGCTACATCGCCGCGCAGAAGCAGCCACCTACGAAGCGCGCCATACCCTCCTTGATGGAGACAACGTGTCACGCTATCAAGAAATGGCCCTGGCAGCCCAGTTCAGTGCTGTAGTGAAGTTCGAACGCCAGCACGCAGCCTACAAGTTCACGATGCGTGACTTCCGCCTCGACCCCTCTTACGCAGTCTCCTCATCCAACTCTGCGACCATGGCTCTCCTCTTCGATTACCCAGTCCGCAAAGAGAACCGCGTGGTTCTCATCGAATGGGTCGACAGTCTTGGGCCAGACCAAGAGCGAGACACGAGGATCAAGACCCTCATGCTCGCCACCCCCAAGCCAGAGAGGCTGATGCTGCCGAAATGCTATGGCATGGTTGAAGATCCTATAGCGAGGAGATTTGGGCTTGTCCTTGCACCCCCACCGCATATTCGGTCGAATTTACCGCAGATTATGCCTGCCGGTGCGATTAGTCAGAAGAGGATGCCGGTGAGCTTGATGGAGCTGCTCGAGAAGAGACACCCGGCGCAGCAAGAGATGTTGGAACTTGGGGTCAGGTTCAAATTAGCGAAGAAGTTGGTGGAGGCTGTTGGGCTGATGTTTTCGGTGGGCTGGGTGCATAAGTAGGTTTCCTTCTCCTACTCGTTCGCCTAGTCTCAAAGAGCTTGTAGAGAACCTAGAAGTCGCTGACGCACGCAGAAACATCCGCTCAAACACCATCCTTTTCTTTCCCGCGCCCAACATTCCCTCTCGCGGTCCTCCAGGCCCAGCGTCTGGCATTCCCCAGCCCCTCGGCTTCTCGCAACCACTATTCGTCGGTGTCGGCGATACCATTCTGCCGGAATTGATCACAGAGCCGTACTACCCCATCGAGGACGTGCCGATCTACATCGATGACCACGGCCAGCGGCTCTTGCGTATCCCATCACACAACCATCATACTCAACCCTCGCACCGGCCCGATCAAATCGAGCTGGATTACTACCAGCATCCCGAGAAGCGGTGGAAACCAGCAGTCCGCTACAACAGAGCGCACGATGTGTACAGCTTGGGATGTGTGCTTTTGGAGCTGGGACTGTGGGAGACGCTGGCAAGTGTTGTGGAGGTCGAGGATGAGGATTTTGAGAGGGTGAAGAGGGGCTTTCAGAGCTTGACTATGAGGCTTGATGGGTGAGTACTACCCCTCTTGTGCGAGTCGATAACTCTAATCAGAATGTTACATAGACTCACCGGGTCCATCTACGCCAACGTCGTCCGCAAGTGCCTCGCTATCAACAACCGCGACCGCACTGAAGCTGAAGGCCGCGAGCTCTCAAAATTCATGGCTGAGATCGCGGCTTCGCTGGATAAATGCTGGGCCTAATTACCTGGGGTAAGATATCAGAGCTCCGGCTTCATAGCTTCTCTAGGGTTGGTGCTATTCGTGCTTGTCATTCGCTATTGGTGGCATTCGAATTCAGGGGATCTAAGCGAGGTCTTGGCAGGATCAGTCGAAATCGAGGCTCCAAAGGCTTCAGTATCCTCCCGCAGTCTCGTTTTGCCTTTACTTTCACTCAGTCCCTGCTTTCGTGCCTGGTACAGCTGGTACAGGTCTCTTCATCAATCCATGAACCATGATCCCATCTACTGCTCCTCTTTCAGTGTTGTCCGAAACGTCACGGTGGCAAGACCAAGGTGCAGAGTCCGGACTCCTCATCCATAATTCTACAGATCGGACAGATGAAGAGAGCTAGATTCATGACCTTCGAATGGAACCATTGTCAAGTTTTGTTTTCGGCCACGGCAAGGCCTGTCAGGTTGCACCATAGTAACCTCAATGTTTCCGGCACTGGCGATGATCGCCCCTGCCAGACTATCGCTGACTGCATCCACTCCTTCAACTCGGCTGTCACTGCCAGAAACTGTACCTGGCCTCCAGTCAAACACTTTTTAGCTTTTGGAAGAGAAATTATTCGAATATCTCCTTCGCTCTGACTTATCCGATGGCTTTTGTTTGCCATTCCTCCGACACTCAACATCCCCTTCCATTTCTTTCTCCGCCATGATGTGCTTCCAAGAAATCATCAAGCCTATCCAAACAAGTATTTTGTCATCTTTATATCCCGAAACCGGAATTGCATTCTTCACTCGTTATCTGCGTTTAATCATAAATTCGCGACCAGTGGCCCCCTCGTCAGCTTCGCAGCAGCCATACCTAAAACGCACCGAAAGCAGCTCGTACCTCGTCAGCCCAACAATGACGACAAAGCATCCTACCATTCTCGAGAACTCGATTATTCCAACCCGATCATGGCTATTGCGATCATTACCTCCTAGATTCTGGCTGCACAGGATAGAGCCGGTTTACGCGTACACTCTTTTGGCCATCGTTATCGCCATCCTATTCCAGATCGCAGTCCACTCGAGACGGCGGATACGAAAACTAGAAACAAAGGTTCAGGCCATGAAGGATGCCGTCGACGGAATGCTAGCAAACATGAAAATCGTGAGGGAAGAGCTGGACACGATGCGCGAGGTTGACCGTGATGAGAAGCTGTGCCTCGTGGAGAGCTTCAATGAACTTCTCGGTCTGGTGCAGGGGAAATCCAGCGGGAGCGACGTGACGCGGGAAAAGGATTCGGACAATCGGAGGTCTAATGACGACTTAGCACGGGACATCGAGCGCGAGCACGAGGTCGGAGATGATCAAGAGGAACGGGTTGGAGCTGGGCATTTCGAAGAGGGTGCGGAAGATGGCTTGTCGTCGTGTCCCTGGTGTTCGCACGCGCACGAGCTGGGACTCGGCGATTGCTCTGGGGACGGGACTTGCGATTTCTCGGCCCACATCCCATATTGTCCGAGTTGTATCTACAAGAAGGGCGGGGGGGAGGCAGAGGAGGTGCGGAAAGGAGGAATTGGTGGAGATGGTTCGGTTGTGGGTATGGCGGATGACGATGCCAGTGGGGAGACCTGAAGGCGGATTCCCACATTGGGAAAAGAGAATCGTCTTCTCGGTATTGAGGGAATATTGTGTGTATATATATATACCTAGGTAATCATAGCACGGAGATGGGGCGTGGTAGTCGTCAAACGGACATATACCCCCAGGGGCTAGCGAGAGTCCGGCTGAAGCGATGCAGTCTCGACGCAACACTAGCGAACAGTGGGTGTTTTTCCCACACTCATTCTTTTTTTTTTAATCTTCTCCTCCACTCTCTCTCAATATTGTTTTTGCATCTCGGTTTCCAGTCCCTCTCTCTCCAAGAATCTTCAACGCCCCTGATTGATACCTATCATCACCTTTTTGTCCTCTTGGCGTCTTTCCCATCTCCAAACCGCTCAGAAGAAGAGAAGAGATCTACCCACCTATCCACGACTAGTCGCATCACCAGCTCCCGGGGAAAGAAGCACTCCAATACCTTGAGCCACAAGATGATGATGACGAGCCACGAACAAGTCCTCAGATTCTACAACGGCCGAGGCCCTCCTCTCCAGCAGATCACGCCTGCTCGCGTCGAGTTCCTATCTCGACGGTACCATGGATTAGTGTCAGATCACCGAACTTCATCGGTCGAGTCTCGGGCGCACATCCAGAATGGTGCGGCCGAGCGAGACTTCCCATCGCTGGCAGATCATGGCGATGATCACGGAACTCACGATCGCCCGGTGCAGCCAGCGATTATGGAGACGGACCCATCATCGCCGTCGGCTTTGATCAAGAGCCCTTACAGTGCCAAGTTCAAGAGAGCGCTGCAGTGGCCAGAGGCCGAATCCCGAGTCTCGACGACGACCCGCGGAGAGAAGATTGCGGGCCCGGGAGACGAGCACCGCTTGATCGTACCGCCCTACGGCACGTCGTCTTCCATCCGCATCCCGGAGGTGGAGCTCGTCGACGGCTTCAAGCGCGTCATGGCCAGTCCCAAGATCCTCAACGTGACCACCACCACCGCCGCCACTGCGGGCGATGATCGCGACGACGAGTCTATCCGCGGGCTCGGCAGCGATTCTACGTCGACGGAGATTATCGCCTCCCCTGTCGTTGATGGGAATCGTGGTAGCGTCTTCATCGATAGGCATATCGCGAGGAGCTTGAATGCGACGGCTTCTCTCGATCTGAACAACAGCAGCAGCAGCGCGATTCCAGACGGCATGAATCCAGCCGACAGTCCTTTATATGGTAGGGCTCAACTTTATATGCTGTTTGTGATCGCGGCAGGTGTGTTTATCCTGGCGGTCGCGAAAATGCTTATTAGGGCCTACCATAGAATTACTGCTGCTGCTGCTGGTTCTGGTTCTGGCGGTGGTGGCGCTGCACGCGAAGGCGCGGAACAGACCGCTTAGAATCAGAATTGGAAAAGAAAAAAGAAGAAAAAAAAAAGAAAAAAAGGAGATGATGGCGTTGATTTGCGGCAATCTTTAAAATAGGAGAAGAGTGGACTAGGAAAGCAACTTCCGCTTCGATCGGGGCGTTCGCTTCGCTCTGGCGAGCCGGATGGTGATGGTTTTTGGATTATGTATTTATATAATGGAATAGTGTACCGTAATGCAACGTTATCAGTATCGATCACAATTACCAAGTGCCGACGGCTTCTTCCGGCCGGTGTCCGAATACGAGATACTAGGTTGGCTTGTTGATTGGTCGGTTGGTGGGTTTATTGCGCTCCTCACCGTGGTTGCGTGCACCGAGTACCAGCGTCTCGAATGCAGTATTCCCTGGGTGGAACGTCTCCGGATGTTGATACGCGGCTAGTGCGTAGCGCTTTTTGGAAGGGTCTGTTTTTTTTTTTCTCGATGGATGCTGATGTACCGATCGAGTGGTGCGAGTTGTTGCTGCGAGGTGTGTCTGAAGTATGCCAAGGTGGAGGTGCTGCTGCATGCTGGGGAGGGCGCGGGGGAGAGGAAGTTGGGGCGGAGAGAGGTGTATGGGAGGTTGATTCGGGATTCGGAGGGTGGGAGCGGGGAGTGTGATGTGATAGGGAAGAAGGTGGAGGAGGAGGGAAGTTGAACGGGCTGATGGAGTAGTAGTAGTAGTAGTATTCGTTTAACGTCCACGGGTCGCTTTCTACGGCGAGTCTTGTGACCTTTTTAAAGGTATACAAACGTGCAGCTAGTCCTTATATACATAAGAGCACAAGACGCATATAGCGTAAGAGCAGATCTCGAGAGAATAGTATAAGTACAGCGGTGTTTCTTTTTATTAAAACGGTGTGTAAAGAATATATTAAGCAAGCATATTAGCGGGTTTTTATAAAAGACCGAAGTCAGTGTCGTTTGCCGAAGCAAGCTACGCGGGTAGCTAAGTTCATAACGAAGCACTTAAGCTCGTCTAGTATAAAGTGAAGAAAGGAAGAAAGAAAGAAAAATTACTAATAAAGAACTAAGAGCTAAATGAGTATAAGCCTTCGTAATAGTGCTTCGATTATGACGACACGCCAGGTCTCCTGGACGCACCTTACATGCGCCAAGCTACTCCCCTCCTTTTTTCTTTCGTATTCTTCGTATTCTCTTATTCCCCGCTTTTAACTTATAAACTATAGTTTACGAATCCTTAGCGCTCTTACTTTCGTATATATAAACCTTAGCTACTTTCGACCTTTACACTCGATAATTATTGATTCTAAGTTATTACTTTAAGATTCTCTTGAGCTCTTATATAAACCTTCGCGCTTTCGTAAGTTCTTTTAAATAATCGCTTAAAGTCGTTACATTATTAACAACTATCTTACTCCGCCGAAAACAGCTTTAATAATATTCTTTTTCTTTAAAATTCCTTAATAATTAAACGTCAAAAAACATTTAAACGACTCTAACGGTCACGAAAAAGCCTATTTTAAATATAACTTAAAAGATAGCACTTATATAATATAGCAACCTTCGCTTTGCGGGCAAAATCCTCCGCACACTTCTTAAAGCTGCTCTAGCAGCTCTTTCCTCTTCTTTTACGGCCCAACTAATAATTCCTTTTACTTAAAAAGAAGCTATTAATAAACAAAACGATAAAGATAATCCTTCGGCCTTTACCAACCCCGAAGAAGCCTTAGCCTAATACTAAGCTTTTTTCTAGTTTTAACGAAAAGCCGCTAAGCTTAAAAAGCTTTTCGCAGATATAAAAACTCGTAACGAAAAGCTCGATAAAAGCGCTAGCGAATAAAAAACCTTCGTTAAAAAAGCTAAAAAAAAAGCCCGTCGAGCTCGAAAAGAATTAAACCAGCTTTAAGCGGTCTTGCTAATTACAGAACGCTCGTCAAAGCTTCTTTAAGTGTCTTTCGAAGATAACTTTAAAAGCAAAGAGCTATATAAGCCCTTGATCTTTTAAACTACTTTTTCTATTTATAAAACCGCTAACTTTCGCCGCCTTTTCGCCGACGACGATAAACTACTTTCTTTTTATAAGCTAACTAACCTCTGCATTCTAGCTAAGTTTAACACTTTTAAAGCTTCTTTCTTAGCTTTTTAAGGTCGCGCTTGTATCGAGCGGATCTTTAACCTTAAACAAAAGCTCTTAAACGGTATAAGCTACCGAGCACGCTATTAGCAAGCTCACGTCTTCGATAACTTAAAAGCTTTCGAAAAATACTTTTTTATAAAACGCTAACGCAAAAACTACGTTTTTAATTAAACCGAAAGAACAGCTTATTTGTTCTTAGCTTTTTTAATCATAAATCGTAGCAACTCCGTAACCGCTTCGGAACTCGTTTAAATCGCTTTCGAATTCTTAAACGACTCTATTAAGAAAGCTAAAGCGTCAATTGAGTTCGAAAAACTTTATATAAAGCTTAACTAATAATTTTAAGACTTCTACTTTGTTTTTTTAAAGCTTGCCGCTACCGCCGAAATTAAAAACGAAAATCGATTACGTAAAGCTTTGCGTTTTAAGATTATTAAGACGTTGCGCGACTAGCTTTATTTAAAATTTATTAAAACTACAACTTTTAAAGACTTTTAAACCGCCGTCTAATAATTAGCTGCTAGCTAATACGCGTTTGCAAAGCTTTACGACGCTTTACAAACTAAGTATAATTGTTACCAACGGTGACCTAAGATAAATTCTAATAGTTATAATAGTAATAAGTAATCTAGTAGTTATAATAGTGATGAGTAATCCAGTAATTGTGGTAATAATAAGTAATTCAAGGGTTGTGGTAGTGGTAAGTAATCTAAGGGTTTTAAGGTTGTAATAGTAATTAGTTATTTAATCACGTAAGACTATTCTATACGGATTTAGCAAGATTTATAAGCGTGCTAAGACTTTTATTTTATATTAATCTATTAAACTTTTTTCGGAACGGGTCGGCTTAAATTAAATATAAAACATAGCTAAGCTTAATTCAGCTACCGCTATCAATTCTACCGCATATATCGTCGCGTCACCTTAATACTTTTACGCGTAACGCTTTGATTAATCAACAACTTGACTTTCTTAACAATCACTTTTATTATAATATAAAAACGAAACTTTATATTAATCGCAAATGCTTATTAAAAGATATTTTTTAGCTTCTTTTATCATTTCAGAACGACGATTAAAGCAAAGTATTCGCTACTTGCAAAGGTTATAAAAATAAAAATAATGCTAAGCTATCTCTTTTCAGATCGAAACATACTCTTCCTCTTAATAATAATCAGCTAGCAAAAAGACCTCGAAGTCGACCTCGACGTGCTTTAATTGCAGCTTCTTTATTACGAGCCTTTCTTCGGAAATCGCAGCGCTTATTACGATATTCTTTATTTAAGCTCGATCACTTTTACTTTTCGCAGCGTACCTTTCGCAAATACCCGCTTAGATCTTCCTTTATAATATTGCGCAATCTTGCGCTTCGATTTAGCCCGCCTTTACTATTATTACGAAAACATATAAGTTCTACGCGTAAGCTTGCTCGAGATAATAAGATAAGTAGTATAAATAATAGCATAAGTGATAGCATAAATAATAGCATAAATAAGTCCTTTTAGCTAAGTTATTAAAGTTACCGGAGTTATTAAAGTTACTAAAGTTACTAAAGTTATTAAAGTTATTAAGGTTTTAATTCTATAACTTAACGCACTTAAGATTCAGGTTTTGATAAACATATATACGGTGATTCTACGCGTAAGCTTGCTCGAAGTAATAAAATAAATAGCATAAGTAATAGCATAAATAATAGCACAAGTAGTAGTATAAGTAAGTCCTTTTAGCCAAGTTACTAGAGTTATTAAAGTTATTAAAGTTATTAAGGTTTCGATTATACGGCTTAGCGCGTCTAAGATTCAAGTTTTAATAAATATACTACTAT